GAGCGGTCCTTTTGTTTAACACGTGGTGGGCTTCCGCGACCAATATCATCCACAATACAGGTTTTTGTGGGTTAGATCGCGTAAGCATATAAATGTGTCGTTAAAGCCGCCACCACAAGGTTTGTCACGTAAACAGAACGTGGCCAATTCGTTACTAGTACAGCAACACCGGTGTGTTGGAGCCTGATGAAGCTAGTTGTGATTACTGGCGAAACGTTGTACTCAGATTGAAAATGTGGCTTTGCTCTCCAACACACTACCGGCGTTGCTGTACTAGTAACGAATTGGCACGTTACTGTTTACGTGACAAACCTTACTAATTGGCTGTGTCGGGTGGTGGCGGCGGCTTTAACGACACATTTATTTCCGCGATCTAACCTAAAAAACCCTCTATCATGGTCCTTTTGTGTTTCCCACTAGTTTGGAGGCTATAGAGTTGGGCAGGACTCTTGTGGTGCGGTATTCTCTGTTGGGTGAGCAGCACCCAGGTGTCGTAGCAGGGCCCAGGCATGAAGTCTGTGAAGTCCAGGCCCTGCAACTCACTCAATGCACCGCTGGCGTGTGGCCAAGTTTAAAGACTCCAGAAGGTTCTAGATTTGAAGCTTTCGTGACTGCAAGGATTTATATTCTTAGGTTTTTTCGGTAAAGTCACGTAGGTCAAAAAACATTAAAATTAATAAAAGTAAAATAAAATAAAAATCACGACGTTTCGGAGGCAACACAAGCTTCCGTCTTCAGGTGGAACCGTCACAGCCACGACAGCTGTATCAAGTGAATGAGAGATTACTTGATACAGCTGTCGTGGCTGTGACGGTTCCACCTGAAGCTTGTGTTGCCTCCGAAACGTCGTGATTTTTATTTTATTTTTTATTTAACTTTTATTAATTTTAATGTTTTACCTACGTGACTTTACCGAAAAAACCTAAGAATATGAATAAGACTCCAGAAGGGCCTATCAAACCTGTGGGCCGCCTGACTGGTTGCACTGTCGGAGCAGGTCCCCTGGGTCTCTCTGTTTTCCCAGCAGGGAGTGGATTCTCTCCGGAAGCCTCCGGATGATGCTCTTCTTGGCGGTCGCAATGAAGAGGCCAAGAAAACGGTGGCAGCATTCGGGTGTTGCGGTGAATTCGGCTCGCCACTCTCCCGGCAGCCTCCTTACAGGTGGTCCCAGGCAGCTTTGGCCAGGATTCCACCCTAGATTCCAAAGAACACAGTATGAGATGTCACTATCCTTTGTGCAAGCACTTCCAAGAGTTCATGAACAGTGAGCCTGGTGAAATTTGGGGAGCGCATCGTCAGTAGTGAACCTTTGGTTCCTAGGGTGTTTCGGCCTTTCACACGATACACCCTCCCCAAAGGCGGCCAGCGACAGAGGTGATCAATCCTACGCTTGCGTCCCATTCCCAATTAGTCATAGGAGTTGCCTTGTTGTTGATAGCCAACATCCCATGGGACTATGCATGGCAGGGGCGTCCTCCTCCCTGAGTCAAGCATTGTTGACTGCATAGTAATGATTTTGACAGAATTACTAGGCGGGATTTCGATCGATCGATGATCGATTATTGGTTTGCCGCATCAGTGGGGCCGCGGTGAAGGCTGCCCGTCTTCCGCTCCTGCACAAAAATTGCATCGATCACCCAGAGATGCTGACAAGCGGCGAACGGCGACCCCCTGGACAAAGCGATGCCCGTCAGGCGCTCTCGAGCACAGGGTGTGAAGATCAGTTGCGGTAGATCGTCTTTTAGATCATGCAGGTCAAAGCAGAAGACCCATTGCCCGAAACGTCATCTCTTGCGTAGCTTTGTAAATCCTTTATATTAAGTTCACTTGCTTGCGCGCTTACGACCGTGCAAATCTTTCGGTCGTTTTTAAAACCACTTCCCGTGATCCAATCGAGCTGACATTTTGCACACAGACTCGTTGTGCGTGACAATTTATTTTCGTGAAAATGTTTTTTCAAAAATTTTCCACTTTTTAAGAAAAAATAAATTTCACTAACACAATCATATATTTTTCCTAAACACAGAAAATTATTCAAGAAAAAAACAAAAATGTACAATATAAACAATCATACAAAAACTGAAAACCTTATAATCCTTATATACGACTTTCCTTATATTTAATTTAAAATACCAATATGATAAAAATGAAACTCTTACTCAAGAAAAACAGAAATGAATAATAAAATAAAACCGATGCCACGCATATAAAGGATTTATAGTGAAAAGCTTTGTTTTTACGGGTTAATTTTTTTGTCATTTTCGAGGACACGAGCACAGCCGTATCGAGTGATAGTGCCAGATTCTGTTTTTTTTATTCGGTTGTCGAACAAATTTAATTAAGTCTGCGTAAAGTATAGGGCGGTGAAACGTCGCGATGGAATTCAAAGAAAAGGCTGATAATGATAATCGTGGAAACATTTAACCGCGAGCTTTGCAACGTCGTGACATTTACATCTTGAGCACGCAATCGTAGACGGTCGGCATCGCATTCCAAGAGAATTAAAAGGTGTTAATGTAACTGCCGTGGAACGCGACTCTCACTGCCAGTCGTAATGGATGTTCAAGAGCTTTAGCCGCAATTGAACTTGTCGTCTCTAATGTCCGAGGCACTCACCTGCTTGACAGGTTGCGGGGCTCACGCCCAGTGAGGGGGGAGCCGGCACATTTGGGGGGGGGGGGTCCAATGAGCCCCCACCCCCTCCCCCCCCCCCAGTTTAAATGTCAGAACACCTCGGCAGATAATGTATTTTTTGGGGTTAATTTAAGGATTTCTCCACAAATCTGGCTGCCGCCTGATGATGCTGGTGGTGGTTGTTGTTGTAGTTGAAATTACCGGCGACGCGTCATGGTACTCGAATTGTAAATGTTGTAGTAGGTTTACTCTCCAACACACTATACACTACACTATACACTGCACTATATACTACACTATACACTTCACTACAATTCACTATAATATACACAACATTTTACACTACGAAACACACTCTGTACTACACTTTACACTACTATACACTACACTATTTTACACTACACTATACACTACATTATACACTACTGTACACTACATTATACACTACTGTACACTACATTATACACTACTGTACAACACATTATGCTCAACACTATACACTGCACTGTATACTACATTATACACTTCACTACAATATACACTACTAACTACACTACATACTACACTTTACACTACTATACACTATTTTACACTACACTATACACTACTGTACACTACAGTATACACTGCACTATATGCTACACTATACACTTCACTACAATTCACTATAATATACACAACATTTTACACTACGAAACACACTCTATACTACACTTTACACTACTATACACTACACTATACACTATTTTACACTACACTATACACTACATAATACCAAGGCCGTAAGTATAATAAATATTGGGGGGACACATCCCACCCCCCAATATTCAAAAATGCTCAAAATGTCCCCCCCAATATATTGCTATAAAATAGATTTCTGTTTATATGATTGTGGTTATGGTTGTACTTTATGAATCCCGAATCTCTGCCATTACATACAATGAAACAAGAAAAGGTAAAAAAGAAAAAAACAGAGCAATGTAATACAATACACTATTAGACATTACTGTAAAAAATAAATAAAAAGTCCATCCCATGTGTTTGTGAATTTTTTTAATATTTTAGGCAGAAAATTCGTTTTCAAATTTAGATTTTTTTTCTGGGGGGGGGGACACCCAGACCCCCTGGAAGATTTGGTCCCCCCCAATGTTGACTCCATGGCTATGGCCTTGCATTATACACTACTGTACACTACACTATACACTACACTACTTGTAGTGAGTTTTCTTCTCCAACACACAACCGGTTAGTGCTGGAATAGTATACTACACTATACACTACACTATACACTACACTATACACTACACTATACACTACACTATAATTGTAAATGTTGTAGTGGGTTTACTTTTCCAACACACAACCAGTTAGTGCTGAACTAGCATAATACACTATACACTACACTATACACTACACTATACACTACAGTACACTATACACTACACTATACACTACACTATAATTGTAAATGTTGTAGTGGGTTTACTTTTCCAACACACAACCGGTTAGTGCTGAACTAGCATAATACACTATACACTACACTATACACTACACTATAATTGTAAATGTTGTAGTGGGTTTACTCTCCAAGACGCAACCGGTTAGTGCTGAACTCGTAACGAATTGGCACGTGTTGTGTTACGTGGCAAACCTCTATTATATAATTGGCCTGTGTCGGGTTGGTGACGGGTATAACTGCACATCTAACCAGCGACCAATATTAAGGATAATATTATGAATAATATTGTTCGCCAAAGCCCTAACCTTCTTCTTGGTTCTTTCGGTAAAGTCACGTAGAAGGGAAGTAATAAAATAATAAAAATAAAACATAATAAAATAATTCTCACGACGTTTCGGTCACAACGCAAGCAGCCGTCCTCAAGTGAAAGCCAGGTCTGTCGAGGCGACAGCGTTGTGGCCAAAACGTCGTGATAATTATTTTATTATGTTTTATTTTTATTATTTTATTACTTCCCTTCTACGTGACTTTACCGAAAGAACCAAGAAGATGAATCCCTGCAGTCACGAAAGCTTTAAATCGAAACGTTAAACTACCTCGTGAGATGACGGTGGAGATACAGACAGGATAGAGATGAGACGAGAGAAAGAGAGATCCACCCGTGTATTTAACGTGAATTGTATCCCAATTATCTTCTAAGATTTCAATCGTTTTTTCACGACTCGAATACTTTAATGGTACCGGGGGTGACTTCGCCCTTCAACCGCAAAAACCCACGGTCGAAACCTCTGCCTCTTCGTAATTCCCAAGCGACGTGCTGACAGACAATGGGACTGGGTAATAATAGCCCTCCGCGCAAGATTAAATGAAAAATACATCAATCACCCACGAAGGCTGACAAGTAGACAGACAAGCCCCTTCTGATATAAAGCGATGCCCGGGCAGGCGCTCTCGAGCAGAGGGTGTGAAGATTCGTTGCAGATCATCTTTCAGAGCATGCAGATCAAGCAGAGCATGGGCAGGTGAGTTGTTCAAATCGTCGTGATGATGCAGATCGTGGCCAGGTGAAGTGGTCTACCTGGTCGCGATGATGCAGATCGCTGCCAGGTGAGTTCATCACCTACCTGGTCGTGTACTGATCGTCTTCGTTTGTTGCTATCACCCCCCTCGCTCGCCTTTTTGTGTCACTTTCCATTCGGCGAAATGACGCTGTCCTCCTACAATATCACCAAAGACTTAACGCTTTCGTGACTGCAGGAATTCATAGTCTTTGTGTCTTTTGGAAAAGTCACGTAGATCGGTACAAATTAATAAAAATAGTAAATATAAAATAAACATTCTTGGTTCTTTCGGTAAAGTCACGTAGAAGGGAAATAATAAAAATATAAAACAATAAAAATTCTCACGACGTTTCGACTGCAACACAAGCAATCATCATCAGGAGTGAAATCCACAGCAAGAACATTTGCTGTGAATTTTTATTGTTTTATATTTGTATTTTATTTTTTCCCTTCTTCGTGACTTTACCAAACGAACCAAGAATATGAATCCCTGCAGTCACGAAAGCTTTAAATCAAAATAAAATAAACAATTTGTGCCGTGCTAGTAACACACCTGATGATGATTGCTTGTGTAGCAATAGAAACGTCGTGAGAATTTTATAGTTTTATTTTTCGAAATTTTATTATTTTATTATCTCCCTTCTACGTGACTTTACCGAAAGACCCAACAAATATGAATACCGCCAAAGTTCAAGTTCGCTTTAACCCCGTTTGCACCGCTCGGCCTAATTCACCCCGCAACTGTGCAACACACACACACTTTTTGTTTTTCGAGACAAATCGTTGGTCGCGATTTGTTAAAAAAAATATATTTTAAACCCATTCGTTTTGTCCACGTGTGTGCAATTGAACTGTACCTGGCTCTGACCGCGGTCTCCCCTTGCACACGCAACGCCGCTCGCTGTCCCTTGCGTCTCCACGGCTGCATTATTCGTGCATTGGTCGTTCATTTTTCGTCTCCCGGTAGAAAAGAAGAGCAGAGAACACCGCTCTCGTGTAGCCTTCACAGACTGTCGGGGCAAGTTCCGTTAGCGAGCAGCACCTATGAAGGCCGGTAGGGCACACGAGGGGGTGCGGTGCAGAGGTCGCAACCGGGTACCCGATACCCGTACCCTACCCGATACCCGGCTACCCGTACCCGGCCGGGTACGGGTAGCCGTTTGCGACCCTGGTGCGGCCGGGTACGGGTACGGGTAGGCCGTGAGTCACTGGTGAGTCACCGTTTGTCACTCATTCCGGGTAGGGTACGGGTAGGGAACGGGTACCCGTACCTGGCCGGGTACGGGTACGGGTACCCATTTGCGACCTTGGTGCGGCCGGGTACAGGTACGGGTAGGCCGTGAGTCACTGGTGAGTCACCGTTTGTCACTCATTTCGGGTAGGGTACGGGTAGGGAACGGGTACCCATACCTGGCCGGGTACCGGTACGGGTACCCATTTGCGACCCTGGTGCGGCCGGGTACGGGTACGGGTAAGGAATCAAAACCCGTTTGCGACCTCTGGTGGGATGGCCAGAACCACGCACGACCGCCTTTGTCTCCCCCGGTGCTGACGTTTCCTACACACCGCACCCATTCGACCTGGGGGGTGGGGGGTGGGCTTAAAACATCTTTAGATAATCGTCACCGATGTTGGCCTTGAGCTTGGAATCGAACCCGGTTCGCTGTGTTAGCCGAACCAAGTCGCCTCCGCTTCTCCTACCGAATACGCAAAGGACAGCACGCGCCCACCCCCTGTATTTAAAACCTAAATAACGACAAACTACACGTGCTTTTTCAATTTAAAGCTTTCGTGACTGCAGGGATTCATCTTCTTGGTTCTTTCGGTAAAGTCACGTAGAAGGGAAGTAATAAAATAATAAAAAATAAAACATAATAAAATACAATTCGTACGACGTTTCGGCCACAACGCAAGCAGCCGTCCTCAGGTGAAGAACAGGTCTGTCGGAAAGACAGCGTCTGAATGAACCCATTTATTTTATATTTTTAATTCATTCAGACGCTGTCTTTCCGACAGACCTGTTCTTCACCTGAGGACGGCTGCTTGCGTTGTGGCCGAAACGTCGTGAGAATTATTTTATTATGTTTAATTTTTATTATTTTATTACTTCCCTTCTCCGTGACTTTACCGAAAGAACCAAGAAGATACACGTGCTTTGTATGTGATTTCACCACGTGTAAAGGGACTGCCGATCCGTGTCGCTCTTTGTCTGAAACGACCGTCGCCGTCCCAAATGATAGCTCAGCCAAGCGGAGGATCATCTTCATCTGATGATGCTGGATGTGATTATCAGCGAAACGTCGTACTACTCAGAGTGTAAATGCCGTGGATTCACTCTCCAACACACCGGTGGTGCTGAAGTAGTAACTCATTGGCGTTTTAGTAGTAAGGGTTTTACCCTTTAAACTGGTACAAAACTGACACCTTTATACAAGGCATCATGTTTGCAATAACCGCAACACAAGCAGCCAAAATGCAAACAAAAACAAACAGAGTTGTGGTTATTGCAAACATGATGCCTTGTATAAAGGTGTCAGTTTTGTACCAGTTTAAAGGGTAAAAACCTATTACTATATTTTGCCACTGGTAAAGGAGGTCTCATAGTGTAACTCATTGGCGTGTTGTTTACGTGACAAACCCATTAATGTTTGGCTGTGTCGGGTGGTGGAGGGTTACGACGACGACACAACATGTATCCTTACCCAAAAACCTTTGTTATGAGGAATTTATGTAGTTACGCAATTTCTACTCGGAAACCTTATTATCTTTTTACGTCATGGGACCTCCTTTGCCAGTACCAAAATATACTAATAGGATTTTCCATTTTTTTCTGGCAACAAAACTGACACCTTTTGCAAGGAATCATGCTTACATTAACCACAATACTTGCAGTGAAATGCAAACAAAAACAATACTCTGATAATTTATGCATTGTCTTTGAAACTGATTGGTCCACACCAGAGACAGCTTTCTTTAGAGCCTCGTCTCATATGGTATTCGACCAGATGACGCCAAAAGGCGCACAGTTCAAAGACAACGCACTACCAGAGTAATGAGAGCTCGGGGTGAGCAGCTACATCATGGGACCTCCTTTTCCAGTACTAAAATATACTGATAGGGGTTTTCCCCTATTTTTTGCATAAATTATCAGAGTATTGTTTTTTGTTTGCATTTGACTGCAAGTATTGTGGTTAATGTAAGCATGATTCCTTGCAAAAGGTGTCAGTTTTGTTGCCAGAAAAAAGGGGAAAACCCCTATTAGTATATATTTTTACGCTTCACAACTTTCTCTATGTCTGCACTCCCTATCGGTGGCCTTCCCCCCCCCCCGCCCCCCTTCTCGTACCGTTTGTGACTCGCTCACCCCGTGGCAGAGGTCGCAAACGGGTTTTGATTCCTTACCCGTACCCGGCCGCACCAGGGTCGCAAACGGGTACCCGATACCCGTACCCTATCCGATACCCGGCTACCCGTACCCGACCGGGTACGGGTAGGGTACGGGTATCGGGTACCCGATTGCGACCTCTGGGATGAAGCCACGTTGCAGGCGCGGGTGGGTTGATTCTAGGATCTTGAATTGTGAGAAGAGACAAGACGTTGGGAAATGAGTGACAAACGGTGACTCACCAGTGACTCACGGCCTACCCGTACCCGTACCCGGCCGCACCAGGGTCGCAAACCGGTACCCGTACCCTACCCGATACCCGGCTACCCGTACCCGGCCGGGTACGGGTAGCCGGGTATCGGGTAGGGTACGGGTATCGGGTACCCGGTTGCGACCTCTGCCCCGTGGCCTGCCGATCGCACCACCACCCGCCGACTGCAACGTCTGAACGTCTGCGGCGCAAAGAGCTTTGCGGCTCACCGGATTTCCTCCCCGGGTCTCCGGAACGAACTTTCTTATCCTGTCGCGTGGATGACCGCCGCGTGGTGACCGCAGTGCGGCGATGCTGGTGGCAGCGGCGGCGGCGGTGGTGGCGCTGCTGGCACTGGCTCCTGTGCCGGGCACGGAGGGCGCTCCGGCCAGCACGGTGAGCAACTGGACGTCGCTCAACACGTCGCAGTCGTCCGTGCAGAAAGCCATCGTGGACCTGCACAACCAGCTGCGACGCAGTGTGAGCCCCGCGGCCAGCAACATGCTGCAGATGGTGAGGGACCCCCCCCACTCACACACAGCAACATGCTGCAGATGGTGAGGGACCCCCCCCACTCACACACAGCAACATGCTGCAGATGGTGAGGGACCCCCCCCCCCCCCACTCACACACAGCAACATGCTGCAGATGGTGAGGGACGGTCGGTGGGCGGCTGCGGTGTCGTCGTTGTCGTCGTCGTCATTGTCGTTATCATCATCATCAATATTATCATCATCGTCGTCATCATCGTCGTCATCATCGTCATCATCATTATCATCATCGTCGTCGTCATCATCGTCGTCATCATCATCATCGTCGTCATCATCGTCATCATCATTATCATCATCGTCGTCATCATCATCGTCATCATCGTCGTCATCATCGTCATCATCATTATCATCATCGTCATCATCGTCGTCATCATCATCATCGTAGTCGTCATCATCGTCGTCGACATTATCGTCGCCGTCGTCATAATCATCATCGTCGTCATCATCATCGTTGTCATTGTCCATGGCCGATCCACCGGTGGATGGAGGCCTCCTTTCCCACCCAACAACCGCCACCGCCTCCACGCGACTCGCGCCGTATCGACGATGCGACCCCAGGAGGCGGCAGCGGCGGCGGTGATTCTCGTGGGGAGCTCGCCGCCACTCCAGAATCGGCACGTTTCATCAAGTCCCTCGTGCGAGCGAAGCGCCACCCATCGAGTCCGCGCGGCTCATGAAGGAGATGTAAAACAAACAACAACAAAAAACTCCGAGCAAACGATATCGACACGACGCAAAGTAACATTTAAAAAAAACACCCAAAAAGCATCTGGCCGAACAATTACGCGCGTTTGCCATTTTTTAAAATCGTTTCCACCTCGACAGTGTTTTCGCGTAAAAGGGTTACAGAGAGAGAGAGAGTAAGACTTTTTTGACTTTTTATAATTTTATTTCCTCCAGCGGCAATTGCGCGGGAGTATTTCCAACGTATCAGAATACCAGCCTTTAGAGAGAGAGAGAGTAAGAGAGTAAAAGATAGAATAAAATAGTTAAAGATTTTGACTTTGAAACAACTTTTATTGCCGCTAGCAGCAACAGCACTGGAGGCGATTTCGATATGAAATACACAAAGTCACCAGCAAACAAATGAAAATAAACGCTACAAATCCACGCGCTGTGGCGCTGAAAGCACCGCGCACAATACAAAAGAAAAGTCACGTGGTTGTGATGTCATCGCGCACGCCACGGTGAGGAGCGAGCGCTTCAGAAGGTGAACACCACGAGGTGCCGTCCACGCTGGTGCAGAGAGGGGCTTGTCCGGCTCCCCAGCGTTCGAAGAAGACGCGCTACACATCACCGACATGTGTGTGGTACATGGCGTGCTCCAGCCGGAGCCGCGCCTTGAGCAGAGAGAGAGAGACACAGAGAGAGACAGAGACACAGAGAGAGAGACAGAGACACAGAGAGAGAGACAGAGACACAGAGAGAGAGACAGAGACACACAGAAGAAGACGCGCTGCACATCACCGACATGTGTGTGGTACATGGCGTGCTCCAGCCGGAGCCGCGCCTTGAGCAGGCCTCTGAACACTGGAAGCAGCACAGAGCAGCCGTCAGTGTCACCTTCCAACATCTTTTTTCTCGTTCTGTACACCGCCGTTTTCGCCTGAGCACAGGCGAAGTTGGCGAGGTCATGGCGCTTGTTAGCCAGGTAAAGCTGCTGTTGTAGAACGAGTTACAGAGAGAGGAAGAGACATGATCTCCCGATGAAGAGGGACCACACCAGGCTCCGTCGAACTCCCTCTGAACCAACTTCACTACCGAGTGGTATATTTTTCGATTTAAAGCTTTCGTGACTGCAGGGATTCATCTTCTTGGTTCTTTCGGTAAAGTCACGTAGAATGGAAATAATAAAAGAATAAAAAAGAATACATTATTTTATTATGTTTTATTTTAATTATTTTATTATTTCCATTCTACGTGACTTTACCGAGTGGCAGTTGAAGGGATTTCGCGACCAATGTTGTCCAGCAGTGGAGGGTTTTTTTGTTCGGGGTGAGATGCAAATGTGTGTCGGTGAGCCCGCCCGGCCGATTAGCAAGGAGATTGAGGCGTAATGCAAAGAGTGCCCGACTCGTTACTTAGTTCAGTGCCGAGTGCGGAGTGTGTTGGAGAGTAGACCCCACTACAACATTTACTATTCGAGCGCTGATGTCGATGTTGTAGTGGCACGTTGGTGTCCCGTCGGTGTCCCGTTTCTGTCCGGTCGGTGTTCTGTCAGTATCATGTCGATGTCCTGTTGGTGTCCCATTGATGTCCCATCGGTGTCCTGTCAATGTCCCATCGGTGTCCTGTCAATGTCCCATCTGTGTCCTGTCAATGTCCCATCGGTGTCCTGTCAATGTCCCATCGGTGTCCTGTCAATGTCCCATTGATGTCCCATCGGTGTCCTGTCAATGTCCCATCGGTGTCCTGTCAATGTCCCATCGGTGTCGCGTGCCCCCCGCGGTGCAGGTGTGGAACCAGGAGGCTGCCAATAACAGCGCCGTGTGGGCCAAGTCGTGCTCCTTCAGCCACAGCCCCAACGCCAACCGCAAGACGTCGGGTGAGGAGGCTCCCCGCACCCCTCATCCCTCACCACCCCTCGTCCCCCGGTCCACCAGCGCAGGGCAGCGTACGCTGGCGAGTCACGGCGGGCAAGCAAGGCCACGGGTTCATAGCAGGTTGTGGTGGTGGCGATGATATTCTTAGGTTTTTTCGGTAAAGTCACGTAGGTAAAAAATTCAAATTAATAAAAGTAAAATAAAAATAAAATAAAAATCACGACGTTTCGGAGGCAACACAAGCTTCCGTCTTCAGGTGGATGATGCCACGTGCCTTTAGCGAGTTCAGTAAAAAAAAAACCTGCGGAGGGTGGTTCGTCAAACGTGGCAGCTCCATCTTTGTGGGGGTGGGGGGGGCGGGTCTTTCTCGCGTCCGCCGCTCCAAAGTGAATCCACGGCGGTTGGTTTCTTTGTCGATGCGGTATTAACCGGGGGGGATGGGGGGAGGTTCGAACCGCGAGCCTCTGCAACAACGAACGGCGAACGCTCGCGCCGATTCTCGCTCGGCACCAAGGTACGCGGGGGGAGGCGGGGGGAGGACCACGTGGGAACAGGGATCGATTCTCTGGGCCCTCTCCGTCACCGATGTCACCGCCGCCGGCTTTACATCAACAGGGACCGCGCTGACCGTGTCTGGGGTGGCCATGAGATGTTAGGTACCTCGCCTGGCGTGCAGGAGGTGCGTGGGTTCGATCCCGGCCACCGACGATGTCTGCCGCTGTGTGTATTTGGGGTTCGCGGTGTCTCTCTCTCGCTCGCTTCCTCGCCGAGGTCGCGTGGAAATTCCCTCTCCGGGTTACTCCGGGGTGTTTAAATCCTTTATATTAAGTTCACTTGCTTGCTTGCTTGCGCGCTTACGACCGTGCAAATCTTTCGGTCGTTTTTTAACCCACTTCCCGTGATCCAATCGAGCTGACATTTTGCACTCGTTGTGCGTGACAATTTCTTTTCGTGAAATTTTTTTTCCAAAATTTTACACTTTTTAGGTAAATTTTTTTTATATTTAATTACCAATTGCTTAATGGTGGCAGGCAATCATCTGACCCATAGGTGGCAGCCATCTCAAGCCAGAGGACGAGAGGACTCTAGCCGCCCGTTTCAAAGACCAATGTGGGCTGGGTTGTGGCCCATTGAACACGCATATAAAGGATTTATAGTGAAAAACTTTGTTTTTACGGGTTAATTTTTTTTTTCTTATCGCGCGCACTTTTAGAATCAACATCGTGCACTCTGGAGGGTGTCCGGCTGCCCCTATGAATGTCCTCGACGACGATGATATCGGCCGCTCAGACGTTGAGCTGTCATTAGCGATAGCAAGAAGTCGCTTCTGGACAAACAAACACGCGCACAAATGAGCGAATGCGGTCAGCTCAGTGGGGGCCTCACCCTGTGTAAAATAATAACTTGGTTTGAATTTTGATTGAAAGCTTTCGTGACTGCAGGGATTTATATTATTGGTTCTTTCGGTAAAGTCACGTAGAAGGGAAATAATAAAATAATATAAATATTAAACAAAAAAAAATTCTCACGACGTTTCGACTGCAACACAAGCAATCATCATCAGTTGTGAAATCCACAGCAAGAAAATTTGAAAAAATCATCAGGTGTTTGAAAAAAATCATCAGGTGTGATGATGATTGCTTGTTTTGCAGTCGAAACGTCGTGATTATTATTTTATTATTTCCCTTCTACGTGACTTTCCCGAAAGAACCAAGAATATAACTTAGTTTGAGTTCAGGTCGCCCCCCCCCACCCAAGCATTGCTGACAAACTCCTGGGTCTATAATCGGAGGGGGCCATCGTTGCTCGTAAAGCAAACAGAGAGACGTATCAAAAAATTATCGGCGCTTAAACTCTTTGTGGCAGTAAAACAGGAGGTGTCTTTAGACGTTCAAACACCAAAAAACATGCACCTAATGCAGGGCATCGAGTCTGCATTAACCAACGCGCACGTTACTTGTGGGAAAACATGCAAACAAAGTGCTCTCATAATAAACACATTCCTGCGGAGGGAGCTGGTAGGAACGTTGGGCTGCTCGGTCAATAGCCAGGGTCAACGGCGGCGTGGTGTATTCCGCAAATATGCCCCACTGTGAGGGCGGGCACAAGCCGGCGTGAGTAGGTTAAACGTTGAGTTTTATAAGGACACCACGGGGTGACCAACCCCTCCCCACCCAGCCCCACCCCTCCTACCCCCCACCCAGCCCCTCCCCTCCCATTTTTGGATGCACGACGGACGGACACAATAATCCCCTGTGGGCTGGTGTAACCAGGAGGTTCCTACCAGTATAATAGAATGTTTGCATTGTCTTTGAAACTGATTGGCCTCCACTCAGAGGCAGAAAGCCTTGTTGATGGCATTGTCTCACCGCCGGTGTTAGACCACAGAACAACACCAATGGGCGAACAGTTCAAAGTCAACGCAAGTATCAGTGTATTTATACATCTGGTGGAGCAGTTACATCTAGGGGATCTTTTTTTCCAGTATTAAAAAATGATGAATTAATAAGAATAGGTTCATAAATAAGGTTTTTGGGTTAGATCGCGTAAGTATAAATGCGTCGAAACCCTCCACCACCCCCCCCACCACACCACCCCACCTCCCCACCACCTCCCACCCACTACCACCACCACACCACACCACCCCACCTCCCCACCACCCATCACCTACCACCACCCACACCACCCCCACCCCCACTCCCCACCACCACCACACCACCACCACCCCCCACCACCCACCCACCCACCACCCACCACCACCCACCACCACCCCCACTCCCTACCACCCACCCACCACCACTCCCACACCCCACCACCACACCACCACCACCCCCTCCACCCACCCACCCACCCACCACCACCCCCCTACTCCCCACCACCACCCACCACCACCCCTACTCCACACCACCCACCCACCACCACCACCCACCACACCCCTCACCCCCCCCACCACCCCCCCGCACCAGCGTTCACCTGCGGCGAGAACCTGTTCATCTCGAGCGCGCCCTTCACCTGGGACTACGCGGTGCGCGACTGGCACAGCGAGGTGGTCAGCCCCGGCTTCGAGTTCGGCAAGGGAGCCAAGGGGCCCGGCATGATCGGCCACTACACTCAGGTGCGGAACGCGGTGTGCTGCGTGGTGTGTGTGTGGTGTGTGTGGTGTGTGTGTGGTGTGTGTGGTGTGTGTGGTGTGGTGTGGTGTGTGTGTGTGTGGTGTGTGTGGTGTGTGTGTGTGGTGTGTGTGGTGTGTGTGGTGTGTGTGTGTGGTGTGTGTGGTGTGGGTGTGTGTGTGGTATGCTGTGCGGTATGCTGCGTGGTGTGTGTGTGGTGATGCTTTCTGGGTAGACTGGGGGATCATGGCATGATCGGCCACTACACTCAGGTGCGGAGCGTGGTGTGCTGCGTGGTGTGTGTGTGGTGTGTGTGGTGTGTGTGGTGTGTGTGGTGTGTGTGGTGTGTGTGGTGTGTGTGGTGTGTGTGGTGTGTGTGGTGTGGTGTGTGTGGTGTGTGTGGTGTGTGTGGTGTGTGTGGTGTGTGTGTGTGGTGTGTGTGGTGTGTGTGTGTGTGTGGTATGCTGTGCGGTATGCTGCGTGGTGTGTGTGTGGTGATGCTTTCTGGGTAGACTGGGGGATCATGGCATGATCGGCCACTACACTCAGGTGCGGAGCGTGGTGTGCTGCGTGGTGTCCTACGTAGTGTGCTGCGTGGTGTGTGTGTGTGTGGTGTGGCTGTGGTGTGTGTGGTGTGTCTGTGTGTGGTGTGTGTGGTGTGTGTGGTGTGTGTGGTGTGTGTGGTGTGTCTGTGTGTGTGTGGTATGCTGTGCGGTATGCTGCGTGGTGTGTGTGGTGTGTGTGGTGTGGTGTGTGTGGTGTGTGTGGTGTGGTGTGTGTGGTGTGGTGTGTGTGTGGTGTGGTGTGTGTGGTGTGTGTGGTGTGTGTGGTGTGGTGTGTGTGGTGTGTGTGTGTGTGTGTGGTATGTGTGTGTGGTGTGTGTGGTGTGTGTGGTGTGTGTGGTGTGTGTGGTGTTGTGTGTGTGTGTGTGTGTGGTGTGTGTGGTGTGTGTGTGTGTGGTGTGTGTGGTGTGGTGTGGTGTGTGTGTGTGGTGTGTGGTGTGTGTGGTGTGTGTGGTGGTGTGTGTGTGTGTGGTGTGTGTGGTGTGTGTGTGGTATGCTGCGTGGTGTGTGTGGTGATGCTTTCTGGGTAGACTGGGAGAAGTCGGCACGTGACCGGCAGTAGCCACAGTCCATAGCGAGTTGTATACTGGACGTGGTGTGCTGCCTGGGTGTGTGCGGCCATGCGAAGTCTCCCCAGTGGCGATGTTTACACACCGCCACCCACGTACTCGTTTGAGGCTGAGTCGACCTAGGGGAGGCCCACGACCGGTTCAGATAAATCGTCACTGGGTGTTGGCCGCGAGTGGGAATTGAACTCGGGTGGCCGGGTTTGTAGCGCAGCGCGCTAACCGCTACACTACCGCTCCCCACACCACCACAACTAACACCACCACCAACACAAATAACAACACCACCACCACCACAACTAACACCACCACCACCACAAATAACACCACCACCACCACCACAACTAACACCACCACAACTAACACCACAATTAACACCACCACAACTAACACCACCACCACAACTAACACCACCACAACTAACACCACCACCACAACTAACACCACCACCACAACTAACACCACCACCACAACTAACATCACCACAACTAACACCACCACAACTAACACCACAACTAATATCACCACCACCACAACTAACACCACCACCACCACAACTAACACCACCACAACTAACACCACCACCACAACTAATATCACCACCACCACAACTAACACCACCACCACCACAAATAACACCACCACAACTAACACCACCACCACAACTAATACCACCACAACTAACACCACCACCACAACTAATACCACCACAACTAACACCACCACCACAACTAATATCACCACCACCACAACTAACACCACCACCACCACAAATAACACCACCACAACTAACACCACAACCACAACTAATACCACCACAACTAACACCACCACCACCACAAATAACACCACCATAACTAAAACCACCACCACAACTAACACCACCACCACCACCACAACTAACACCACCACAACTACCACCCCACCACAACTAACACCACCATAACTAACACCACCACAACTATCACCACCACCACCACCACCACCACCACAAATAACACCACCACCACCACAACACCACCACAACTACCACCACTACCACCACAACTAACACCACCACCACAAGTGCAGCACAACCCATCAAATCGCCGCACCCTCTGGTGGTGGGAGGTGGTGGTGATGGGGGGTGGGGTGGTAGTGGGTGGTGGTGGTGGTGGGTGGTGGTGGTAGTGGTGGTAGTGGGTGGTAGTGGGTGGTGGGAGGTAGTTGTAGTAGTGGTGGGGGGGGGGGCGCTCTCTCGATCTCCCACCGCCCACCACCACCACCACCCCCAGCAGTTTGGTGCGAGCGAGCGGTGCACTTGCAGGTGCTGCGCTTTAACCCGTCGCTGCCCCGTGCCACGTGCGTGCGTGCAGGTGGTGTGGTACAGCTCCTACCAAGTTGGCTGCGCCGTCAACTACTGCGAGGCCTCTGCCAAGTACCTTTACGTGTGCCACTACTGCCCAGCGTGAGACTATTACAACGCTGGGGGAGCTGGGGGGCTGTACCCCCCCCCAACCCCAACCCCAACTCCCCCCGCCCTCCCACACTCTCTCTATCTCGACCACTATCATCGGTCGTGCAATGTTACGATTGTTGTTGTACAGCAGCGCCTTGCAATGAGGCGATGCAACGTACAGGGACTCGTCTACTTACGAACAATTCGACTTACGCACTTTCAGAGATACGAACACACCCGGTCCGTATGTCCAGTTGCCTGTTCGGACCGAGAGTCGTAAGTTCAACTGCCACGTAATCTATGGCGGTGATGGCATCTACATCTGCAGAACGTGAAGAGCCAGTGGCATCTACATCTGCAGAACGTGAAGAACCAGTGGCATCTACATCTGCAGAACGCGAAGAACCAGTGGCATCTACATCTGCAGAACGTGAAGAACTAGTGGCATCTACATCTGCAGAACGTGAAGAACCAGTGGCATCTACATCTGCAGAACGCGAAGAACCAGTGGCATCTACATCTGCAGAACGTGAAGAACCAGTGGCATCTACATCTACAGAACGTGAAGAACCAGTGGCATCTACATTTGCAGAACGTGAAGAACTAGTGGCATCTACATCTGCTGAACGTGAAGAACTAGTGGCATCTACATCTGCAGAACGTGAAGAACCAGTGGCATCTATATCTGCAGAACGCGAAGAATCAGTGGCATCTACATCTGCAGAACGCGAAGAACCAGTGGCATCTACATCTGCAGAACGTGAAGAACCAGTGGCATCTACATCTACAGAACGTGAAGAACCAGTGGCATCTACATCTACAGAACGTGAAGAACCAGTGGCATCTACATCTGCAGAACGTGAAGAACTAGTGGCATCTACATCTGCAGAACGTGAAGAACCAGTGGCATCTACATCTACAGAACGTGAAGAACCAGTGGCATCTACATCTGCAGAACGTGAAGATCCAGTGGCATCTACATCTGCAGAACGTGAAGAACCAGTGGCATCTACATCTGCTGAACATGAAGAACCAGTGGCATCTACATCTGCAGAACGTGAAGAACCAGTGGCATCTACATCTGCAGAACGTGAAGATCCAATGGCATCTACATCTGCAGAACGTGAAGAACCAGTGGCATCTACATCTGCAGAACGCGAAGAACCAGTGGCGTCTACATCTGCAGAACGCGAAGAACCAGTGGCATCTACATCTGCAGAACGTGAAGAACCAGTGGCATCTACATCTGCAGAACGTGAAGAACCAGTGGCATCTACATCTGCAGAACGTGAAGAACTAGTGGCATCTACATCTGCAGAACGTGAAGAACTAGTGGCATCTACATCTGCAGAACATGAAGAACTAGTGGCATCTACATCTGCAGAACGTGAAGAACCAGTAACATCTACATCTGCAGAACGTGAATAACCAGTGGCATCTACATCTGCAGAACGTGAAGAACTAGTGGCATCTACATCTGCAGAACGTTATGAACTAGTGGCATCTACATCTGCAGAACGTGATGAACCAGTGGCATCTACATCTGCATAACGTTATGAACTAGTGGCATCTACATCTGCAGAACGTGAAGAACTAGTGGCATCTACATCTGCAGAACGTGATGAACCAGTGGCATCTACATCTGCAGAACGTGAAGAACTAGTGGCATCTACATCTGCAGAACGTGATGAACCAGTGGCATCTACATCTGCATAACGTTATGAACTAGTGGCATCTACATCTGCAGAACGTGAAGAACTAGTGGCATCTACATCTGCAGAACGTGAAGAACCGGTGGCATCTACATCTGCAGAACGTTATGAACCAGTGGCATCTACATCTGCAGAACGTGAAGAACCAGTGGCATCTACATCTGCATAACGTTATGAACCAGTGGCATCTACATCTGCAGAACGTGAAGAACCAGTGGCATCTACATCTGCATAACGTTATGAACCAGTGGCATCTACATCTGCAGAACGTGATGAACCAGTGACATCTACATCTAAAGGAGATTAAACACTTTTAAAGCCATTCCCCGTGTCTAGTGTACACGCCGTACAACGCGTTTGAAATCGACAGGAGTAAAGTATGGACAGAGCAGAGCCTCACCATTCTGGCGAATTGCCCGATGATGCTGGATGCAATTACCAGCGAAACGTCGTACTCAAAAATTGTAAATGTTGTGGTTTCACGCTTCAACACACCGGTGGGCTAAAGCAGTGAACTATTTGTCTTTTGTCAACGTGACACTTTTTCACTGATTGGTCGTGTCGGTTGGTGGAGGGTTACGACACATTTATAAATAACGCGATCTAAACCCAAAAACGTTGATTATGAATAATATTGGTCGCGAAAGCCTCACACGTGTTCAACTGACTTATGAACAGACCTTTTGGAAGCTGATTCGTTCGTAAGTAGAGGAGTCCCCGTATAGAAATACTTTGCGATGAGATTGATTGCTACGGCGGCTATGCAGTGATGTTGACGGCGATCCGCCCCCCCCCCCCGTGTTGCATCCCCCGCAGCGGCAACCTGAACACTCGACTCACGCGCCCCTACGACAGCGGCCCGGCGTGCAAGTCCTGCCCCAAGAACTGCACCAACAAGCTGTGCAGTGAGCCCTCCCTCCTGCCTTACACTCACTCGCTCACTCACTCACCCACTCATACACTCACGCACTCACTCGCGCACTCACTCACGCGCTCACTCACATGCTCACGCACTCACTCATACACGCACACGCTCATTGACTCACTCACGCACTCACTCACGCGCTCACTCACTCACCCACTCATACACTCACGCGCTCACTCATACACGCACACGCTCATTGACTCACTCACGCACTCACTCACGCGCTCACTCACTCATACACTCACACGCTCATTCACTCACTCACGCGCTCACTCGCGCACTCACTCACGCGCTCACTCACACGCTCACGCACTCACCCACTCACTCACGCACTCACTCACGTGCTCACTCACTCACTCATACACTCACGCGCTCATTCACTCACTCACTCACGCGCTCACTCACTCACTCACTCACGCACCACCACTACCACTACTCCCACCACTACTATCACTACTAACTACCACCACCACTACTACCACCATCACTACCACCACTACTACCACCACTACCACCACCACTACTACCATCACCACCACTACTACCACCACCACTACTACCACTACTACTGCCACTACTACCACTACCACCACCACTACTACCACTTCCACCACCACTACTAACTACCACTACCACCACCACCACTATTACCACTACTACCGCCACTACTACCAACTCCACTACCACCACTACCGCATCAACCGAGGTCTCTCCGCGTGAATTTTTTGTCCTCCTGCTTCTAAGCCCCGCCCCCCGGGGGCGTCACCCTCAGACGCGTCGCGCTCGCTTGCCCCTTCTCTGTGACGCAGCCAACGCGTGCCCCTTCACCGACTCCTACTCCAACTGCGCGCTCATGAAGAGCACGCTGGGCTGCGGCGACACGCTGTACGGCCGCATCGTGCGCGCCTCCTGCCCCGCCTCCTGCCAGTGCGCCGACAAAATCTACTGAGCTCCTTCGAAGACCGGACCGGCAATCAGCAAGCCACCGTGGGATGAGGGGGGGCCTTCCCACCCTCCCCCCTCTCTCCTCTCGTCTCCTATCTCCACTAGATGCCGTGGTCGACGCGGAAGAGTAGGCCAAAGCTCCTCTCGAGCGGAGGAGGCGTTCTTCCGCTGGCAGCAGTGGGCGTTGATACGAGCACTTTGCAGGGATGCGCCTTTTGCCTCTTTAAACATAAAATAAAAACTCCGTTTAACAAAAACCGCGCGGCTTTAAACCCCGCGTCGAAATATCAAAATAGAGAATTCGAATCGACTTTTAGTGAAATGTACCAGGCGGAGAGTAGAGGCCCTCATCCAACGGTGGCTAGACCATGGCTAAGACTGACCACGACGATGAATCCAAACTATAATATAAACGCAAATACTACACTGGTCAACACACTTTTTCTGGCATAAGGTATTCCGACGATTTTAAGGTAATTTTGGGGTGCTGATTCCAAATCTGGTCAACACACTTTTTCTGGCATAAGGTATTACAACGGTTTTAAGGTTATTTTGGGGTGCTGATTCCAAATCTGGTATCAGTTTTTTTCTATCACATCAGGTTTTTGAGATATCAAATATTGCCTTTTCAATAAAAACTGCAGAAGAAAAATATTAAATACGGATATCTACATAAAATGATATTATAAACACACTATCCTAAAAATACAGCACCATATTTATCTACATAAAATGATATTATAAACACACTATCCTAAATATACAGCACCATATTTATCTACATAAAATGATATTATAAACACACTATCCTAAAAATACAGCACCATATTTATCTACATAAAATATTATAAAAACACTATCCTAAAAATACAGCACCATATTTTAACACTAAAGCAGTCACTGACTCGCAACAACTTGCAATCATAAGTGACAGAGTTAATTTCGGGTAAAATCAATGAAAATGGGGTATGCCGATAGCATAAAAATGAGATGTGATAGAGCAAATCTGAGATCAGATTTGGAATTGGCACCTTGAAATTAGTCTAGAACAGCTGCAAAAGTCCAGGCCAGAAAAAAAATGTTTTTGTTGTTGTTGTTGACCAGTGTTATTATCTATCGCTCTATCTCTCTCTATCTCTCTCTCTACCACCTCTGTATCTCTCTACTCTCTCACTCGATCTCTCTGTGCGTGTGCACACACGGCGCTCCGTGTTTGACGCTTTTTCTGGGGTTGGGGGGGGTCTCGTGGCTTTTTCTACGCGAGTCGTTGGGTGTCAATCAATAAACCTTCCCGTGAACATGGCCTACACGCGTTCGATTCTGGGTGGGAGCTGACCAGAGGTCGCAAACGGGTTTTGATTCCTTACCCGTACCCGTACCCGGCCGCACCAGGGTCGCAAACGGGTACCCGTACCTGGCCGGGTACGGATACCCGTACGCTACCCGTACCCTACCCGAAATGAGTGACAAACGGTTACTCACCAGTGACTCACGGCCTACCCGTACCCGTACCCGGCCGCACCAGGGTCGCAAACGGGTACCCGTACCCGTACCCGGCCGTACCTGTACCCTACCCGGCCGGGTACGGTACGGGTATCAGGGTACCTGATTGCGACCTCTGGGATGAAGCTATGTTGCAGGCGCGGGTGGGTTGATTCTAGGAACTTGAATTGTGAGAAGAGACAAGACGTTGGGAAATGAGTGACAAACGGTGACTCACCAGTGACTCACGGCCTAGCCGTACCCGGCCGCACCAGGGTCGCAAACGCAAACTCCAAATATACAGCAGCAGGCGTCAGGGTCGGGATCGAACCTACGACCTCTTGTATACCAGGCGAGGTAGTTAACATCTCCTGGCCACCGTGATGATGATGAGAGAGAGAGACACGCAAACTTCAAATACACAGCAGGCGTCAGGGGTCGGATGGAACCCACGACATCCTGTATACAAGGCGAGGTAGTTAACATCTCCTGGCCACCGTGATGATGATGAGAGAGAGAGACACGCAAACTTCAAATACACAGCAGGCGTCAGGGGTCGGATGGAACCCACGACATCCTGTATACAAGGCGAGGTAGTTAACATCTCCTAGCCACCGTGATGATGATGAGAGAGAGACACGCAAACTCCAAATATACAGCAGCAGGTGTCAGGGGTCGGGATGGAACCCACGACCTCCTGTATACCAGGCGAGGTAGTTAACATCTCCTAGCCACCGTGATGATGATGAGAGAGAGACACGCAAACTCCAAATATACAGCAGCAGGTGTCAGGGGTCGGGATGGAACCCACGACCTCCTGTATACCAGGCGAGGTAGTTAACATCTCCTAGCTATCGTGATAATGATGATGAGAGAGAGAGACACGCAAACTCCAAATATACAGCAGCAGGCGCCAGGGTTGGGATGGAACCCACGACCTCCTGTACACCAGGCGAGGTAGTTAACATCTAGCCACCGTGGTGCCCTCTAAAAAAAACAAAACACCATTCGGCTCGGGGAACTCGGGTTGTGCGGTGGGACGAAGGAAAAACAACGAAATCAAAGTGAGCGATGTGATAGGGGAGGCCCAAAATCCGGTCGCGTTTTCGGCAGCGTGAGGGTGGCAGCTTTCCACGCTCATGCGAGAGGCGCTGAGATTCAAACAACCGTGGAGGGGGGGGGGGGTCGTCCCGAGTCACCCCCCCACCCACCCAATGGTGGAGCCAGGATGTTCAGGTAGAGGGGGGGGCAACCCCTACAGCAATGAAATTTGATAGAGGAGTTGTTAGTGAGTAAGGAGTTGTTAGTAAGGAGTTGTTAGTAAGTAAGGAGTTGTTAGTAAGTAAGGAGTTGTTAGTAAGGAGCTGTTAGTAAGTAAGGAGTTCTTAGCAAGGAGTTGTTAGTAAGTAAGACCTTGTTAGTAAGGAGTTGTTAGTAAGTAAGGAGTTGTTAGTGAGTAAGGAGTTGTTAGTAAGTAAGGCAGTATTAGTAAGGAGTTGTTAGTAAGTAAGGACTTGTTAGTAAGGAGTTGTTAGTAAGTAAGGAGTTGTTAGTGAGTAAGGAGTTGTTAGTAAGTAAGGCATTGTTAGTAAGGGGTTGTTAGTAAGTAAGGACTTGTTAGTAAGTAAGGAGTTAGTAAGTAAGGAGTTGTTAGTAAGTAAGACCTTGTTAGTAAGGAGTGGTTAGTGAGTTAGACCTTGTTAGTAAGGAGTGGTTAGTAAGTAAGACCTTGTTAGTAAGGAGTTGTTAGTAAGTAAGATCTTGTTAGTAAGGAGTGGTTAGTAAGTAAGGAGTTGTTAGTAAGTAAGGAGTTGTTAGTGAGCAAGGACTTGTCCCTTGCTTTGTATTCGACGCGTTTGCGGCGATGGCGCAGCTATCGATCGAGGGTCGAATTCGAACCGCGCTGTGTGATCGGCATCGCGCTCGCTGCAGGTGAATGATGCCTTCAGGGAAGTCGTGTGGACTGTCTACACGCAACTGCGCACAATTCTGTGAGTCGCTTATAACTGCTTTGCCGTTACTTATTGCCAGTTATGGACTCAGACTATTGTCCTATCATCTCATTGAGTCCCTGGCACGTACTAATATGCTACACAGTGGCAGTGGGGGTCGCAAAATGCCGATTTATTACTAATAAACTCCAATGATACGATCGAAATCAGGGATTTTGATCGGATCATTGGGGGGGCACGTGCCACCCCCCCCCCCCTGGCTCCGCCATTGCCCCCACCCACTCACCGCCCCCCCCCCCCCCCCCCCGGAGGCTACGCCTGTGGTGTAATCCGCCGAGGATTAGCCCGCAAATTCTATGCAAATCTTACCCCCCACCCCCCTCCACCCCCCCCTCCACCTCCCAAACAAATCTCAGCAAATATTAAAAAGGTACGAAGGCAGAGCATACACGCCCACACACTTTGCATGCCACCAAGTTGCACAATCGTCTCCTAAACATTGGCAAACTTAAAAAGTGTGAAGTGATTTTTGTTGATATGTGAGCAGGTGTGAGGGAGAGAGAGACACGCAAACTCCAAATATACAGCAGCTGGCGTCAGGGTTGGGATCGAACCCACAACCTCCTGTATACCAGGCGAGGTAGTTAACATCTCCTAGCCACCGTGATGATGATGAGAGAAAGAGAGACACGCCAACTCCAAATATACAGCAGCAGGCGTCAAAGTTGGGATCGTACCCACGACCTCCTGTATACCAGGCGAGGTAGTTAACATCTCCCAGACACCGTGATGATGATAGAGAGACACTCAAACTCCAAATATACAGCAGCAGGCGTCAACGTTGGGATCGTACCCACAACCTCCTGTATACCAGGCGAGATAGTTAACATCTCCCAGCCACCGTGATGATGATGAGAGAGAGAGAGACACGCAAACTCCAAATATACAGCAACAGGCGTCAGGGTTGGGATCGAACCCACGACGTCCTGTATACCTGGCGAGGTAGTCACGAAAATAACTTGTCACGCACAACGAGTCTGTGTGCAAAATGTCAGCTCGATTGGATCACGGGAAGTGGGTTAAAAAACGACCAAAAGATTTGCACGGTCGTAAGCAAGCAAGCAAGCACGCAAGCAAGCAAGCGAACTTAATATAAAGGATTTTATAAAAAAATTACCCGTAAAAACAAAGTTTTTCACTATAAATCCTTTATATGCGTGGCATCGGTTTAATTTTATTATTAATTTCTGTTTTTCTTGAGTAAGAGTTTCATTTTTATCACATTGGTATTTTAAATTAAATATGGGGAAAAAAATCCTAAAAAGTGGAAAATTTTGGAAAAAAATTTTCACGAAAATAAATTGTCACGCACAACGAGTCTGTGTGCAAAATGTCAGCTCGATTGGATCACGGGAAGTGGGTTAAAAAACGACCGAAAGATTTGCACGGTCGTAAGCGCGCAAGCAAGCACGCAAGTGAACTTAATATAAAGGATTTTAAAAAAGCCGTTCCTTGGTGTGGACCAATCAGTTTCAAGGACAATGCATATATTATCATAGTGTGTTTTTGTTGTTGCATTTTGACTGCAAGTATTGTGGTTAATGCAGACATGAATCCTTGTTAAAAGGTTTCAGTTTTGTTGCCAGAAAAAAGGGGAAAAATCCTATTATTATATTTTGGTACTGGCTAAGGAGGTCTAATGATCAAAGTTTCAATAGCTTACAACCCACACCGGTTCCCCCGGTTCTCTTCCTGACTTCTTATTAGCAAAATAAAAACCTTGCTGAATCCAAGAAACGTCTGGACTCATGGACTCTTATCTCTAACGACCACAAGAGTGCTGCTTGTTGCTGGCTACTGGGCGTATTGGGCCAGTAGGGCAAACTGTGCAATATTTTATTTACATATAAAATATTTTTGGGTTAGGTCATCTAAATATCAACGTGTCGTGAAACCCGCCACCACCCGGCGCTGAGTAAACCCACTCTCCAACACACAACCGGTTAGTGCTGAACTAGTAACGAATTGTCAATGTTGTAGTGGGTTTACTCTCCAACACACAGCAACCGGTTAGTGCTGTACTAGTAATGAATTGTCAATGTCGTAGTGGGTTTAACTCTCCAACACACAGCAAACGGTTAGTGCTGTACTAGTAACGAATTGTCAATGTTGTAGTGGGTTTAACTCTCCAACACACAACCGGTTAGTGCTGTACTAGTAACGAATTGTCAATGTCGTAGTGGGTTTTACTCTCCAACACACAGCAACCGGTTAGTGCTGAACTAGTAACGAATTGTCAATTTTGTAGTGGGTTTACTCTCCAACACACAGCAACTGGTTAGTGCAGAACTAGTAACGAATTGTCAATGTTGTAGTGGGTTTAACTCTCCAACACACAGCAACCGGTTAGTGCTGAACTAGTAACGAATTGTCAATGTCGTAGTGGGTTTAACTCTCCAACACACAGCAACCGGTTAGTGCTCTACTAGTAACGAATTGGCCACGTTCTGTTTCCGTGATAAACCCATAACTAATTGTCTGTGTCGGGTGGTGGCGGGTTTAACGACACATTAATATTCACACAAGAAACCCCTCTGTTATGGATAATATTGATTGCGAAAGCCTCCGACCACGTGTTAAACTGATCTTTTATATATATTTCGATGTCATCGAGGATAGTGGTAGGTGTCATTACGTAACGCCGCTAAACCACAACTCTCCTTCCAAGTCACCTGGGCGGAGGCGGGGTGGCCCGGCTGAACGCGCCCATCGCACCGCAAGTCCAATTAAACCGCGCGCCCAACCACTGTGATTGTGAAGTTAGTGCGAAGTTATTGTGAAGTGTGTTTTGGCTTATTCTGACAGGTGACAAGCGAGCGACGCGCCCCTTGTCAAGGATATTGCTGCGTATAAAAGTCGAGCATCAGCTCCAAACGCCGATCAGAGAGGCACTGCCACCCGTTCCGTCCCAGCAGCAGAGATGTTGTGAGTATGCGAGCATCAAACTTGTTTCGATTTAAAGCTTTCGTGACTGCAGGGATTCATTTTCTTGGTTCTTTCTGTAAAGTCACGTAGAAGGGAAATAATAAAATAATAAAAATAAAACATAATAAAATAATTCTCACGACGTTTCGGCCACAATGCAAGCGTCTGAATGACACTGTCTCCCCGACAGAACTGGTCTTCACCTGAGGACGGCTGCTTGCGTTGTGGCCGAAACGTCGTGAGAATTATTTTATTATGTTTTATTTTTATTATTTTATTACTTCCCTTCTACGTGACTTTACCGAAAGAACCAAAAAGATCAAACTTGTTTTGAAGCTTTCGTGACCGCAGGAATCCATACACTTTGGTTCGTTCGGTAAAGTCACGTAGGTAAAATTGAATTAATTTTATTTAATTATTTTATTTTATTTCTACCTACGTGACTTTACCGAAAGAACCAAAGAGTACGAGAGCATCGTGATGATCGCGGCGTATCGGCATGACGCGAGCTTCGTAATCGTAACGGTGTATCCGTCAGTGCGCGTGTATCCTAATGGCGATGCTACCGACAGACCTGTTCTTCACCTGAGGACGGCTGCTTGCGTTGTGGCCGAAACGTCGTGAGAATTATTTAATTATCTTTTATTTCCATTATTTTATTATTTCCCTTCGACGTGACTTTACCGAAAGAACCAACAAAATAATAAAGATATATTTTATCATTTCCCTTATTCTTGGCTCAGCGTCTGAATGAGACGCTGTCTTTCCGACAGACCTGTTCTTCACCTGAGGACGGCTGCTTGCGTTGTGGCCGAAAACGTCGTGAGAATTATTTTATGATGTATTATTTGTATTATTTTATTATTTCCCTTCTACGTGACTTTACCGAAAGAACCAAGAACACCCTGTACTACCTGAACGTTTAAATGTCTGACGGCGGAGGAGGCCGGGCCAATCCGGGTCTCAGTCCCCGGACTCGAACCGGGGTATTAAGTCTCGAGAAATTCATGGTCTCAGACCGGTTACAATTGCCTGTGTAGGGGTGTTATGGGAAGGATTCCCACCAATAGGAGGGGGAGTGGGACGTTGACAGGAGAAGGGGGAGGAGAGGAGATATAAGGGAGATAACGGGCGGGGAGAATGGTTCGTTGACAGGACCGAGATTGGGACGGCTGGGTGACAGGTGTCCGGCTCACGTGGTGATTGGCTCTGCCGGTCCTGCTCTACAGCCAATGGGGGAAGAGCCTGGGAGCATGGTCCCGGCGTCATCGATGGATGTCAGCTAGCTGATTGGTTCTGCTGCTCTTGGCCTCAGCCAATGGGAAGACAAGTCAGGGGCGTGGTCCCGGGAGTTGATGGAGGAATCTGGAACATTCGGCGCAGGCTATTAAGGATTGGCTGGAGCGTACCACGTGACCCAGGCGTTAAATAAGGGAAGAGCCGAGGGACACGTGGTCAGACGAGGAACGAAGAGAGAGAGGGGGGCCACGCGCGAGCGGGGCTCCGAGTGCCACGTGGCGGTCGGTGCGTCTCTTGCGATCTGCCTGCCCACTTCCCGTTGCCTGCCAGCAACGGGGAGTGCTTTTAAACTGAAATAAGTAAATACAAGGACCGATTCCACAAGCCGTCTCCAAGAGTATTATTACACAGGTGTGGATGGGAGGAAAGGATTAAAAGACGAACCCCCTGCAACCTTGTGTTGGCTCTCCTTTACACCTGCAATGAAAACCGCCCCATCACGTGAAATGAGGCATCCTCTCAGTTTTTGGTTCAACTCCAGCCGTGTGAGTCAGAGGTCGTGGTCTGACCGTCATTACTCGCAGTGCGCCAGTTGCCGCCAAGGATTTCACAGGTAGCTCTGTTATATTTGCTTTCACGAGCTGTTCACTGAACGAAGCACTGGCCTGAGCAAGCCTTTATCCAGCAGCGTATTGATCATGGCTGATGATGGTGGTGATCACGATGGTGGTGGTGCAGGTGGTGATGGTGGTGATGATGATAATGGTGGTAGTGAGGGTGATGATGATGGTGACGACGATGATGATGGTCGTGGTGATGGTGGTGATGATGATAATGGTGAAGGTGGTGACGATGACGGTGGTGGTGATGGTGGTGATGATAATGGTGAAGGTGGTGACGGTGATTATGATGGTGACGACGATGATGATGGTCGTGGTGATGGTGGTGATGATGATAATGGTGAATGTGGTGAGGGTGATGATGATGGTGACGACGATGATGATGGTCGTGGTGATGGTGGTGATGATGATAATGGTGAAGGTGGTGAGGGTGATGATGATGGTGACGACGATGATGGTCGTGGTGATGGTGGCAATGATGATAATGGTGAAGGTGGTGACGATGACGATGACGGTGGTGGTGATGAAGGTGGTGGTGAAGGTGGTGATGATGACGGTGGTGATGAAGGTGGAGGTGACGGTGTCTATGCGCGTGCGTGCATCGCACCCCCCCCCCCCCCAGCACTAACCTCGTGACCCCGGCGGCGTTGGCGTTGGTGTTCATGGCGAGCGTCGTGGCGGCGACATCCGTCAACGACTGGAAGCTCCTGGACACGAAGCTGTCGGCGAACCGGAAGGTCATCGTGGACGTTCACAACGAGCTGCGGCGCGGCGTGGTGCTCACTGCCAGCAACATGCTCAAGATGGTGAGGACACGTGGCAGTCAGCGCCCATCGCCCCCCCCACTCCACTATGTGGCCCCCACACACCAGAGGTCGCAACCGGGTACCCGATACCCGTACCCTACCCGGGTAGCCGTTTGCGACCCTGGTGCGGCCGGGTACGGGTACGGGCAGGCCGTGAGTCACTGGTGAGTAGCCGTTTGTCACTCATTTCGGGTAGGGTACGGGTAGGATACGGGTACCTATACCCGGCCGGGTACGGTTAGCTGTTTACGACCCTGGTGCGGCTGGGTACGGGTAAGGAATCAAAACCCGTTTGCGACCTCTGCTTCCCACTTGTGTGCGTCTCGTGAGGTCTTACGCGACCATACCTCACCACGCTGCTGAATTTGCAGATTTGCTAGAGAGGGGGTGGAGGTGGAGGCGTCAGTGGGGTGGGTGGGATGGAGGGGTGAGTGGGTGGGGTGGAGGGGTGACGGAGTGGAGGGGTGAGTGGGTGGGTGAGTGGGTGGCATGGAAGGGTGAGATGGTGGGATGGAGGGGTGAGTGGGTGGGTGGGGTGGAGGGGTGAGTGGGTGAAGTGAGGTGGACGGCTGAGTGGGTAGGGTGGAGGGGTGAAGGGGTGAGTAAAGGGGTGAGTGGGTGGGTGGGTGAGTGGGTGGGATGGAGGGGTGAGTGGGTGGGTGAGGTGGAGGAGTGAGTTGGTGGAGGGCTGAGTGGGTGGGGTGGAGGTTGGGTGGGTGAGTGGGTGGGTGAGGTGGAGGGGTGAGTGGGTGGAGGCCTGAGTGGGTGGGGTGGAGGGTGGGTGGGTGAGTAGGTGGGTGAGTGGGTGGGATGGAGTGGTGAGTGGGTGGGTGAGGTGGACGGCTGAGTGGGTGGGGTGGAGGGTGGAGGGGTGCATGGAAGGGTGAGTGGGTGGGATCGAGGGGTGAGTGGGTGGAGGGGTGCATGGAAGGGTGAGTGGGTGGGATCGAGGGGTGAGTGGGTGGAGGGGTGGGTGAGTGTGTGGGTGAAATCGAGGTGTGAGTGGGTGGGTGGGTGAGTTGGATGGTGGTGGTGGTTGTGGCACAGCCTGGCTGACTGTGCCGGGACTTGTCCGCTGCAGGCGTACAACGAACAGGCAGCAGAGACCAGCCGCTTGTGGGCCGCCGCCTGCAGCTTCTCGCACAGCCCCAGCAACACGCGCACCTGGAAGACGCCGCAAGCAGGTGACAAAAAAGCTTCCGTGACTGCACAGTGTTAAGCAACCGATAGAAAAGATAATGCCGCTCGATTGATTCGGAGTGAGACCTCTGGTGTCAAACCGGAGCCGGTCATGAGCACACTTCCCAGGTACGGGAAACTCTCCACTCTCTCCACAACTGCCCCATCACCAATTGGGAGTTGTGGGGGTGGAGTGTCCGATGGTACAAAATACCCAGGCAGGTGCTTCGTTTTGGTGGGGCTGATGGTAAGGCCCCACCTCTTAGTGTCACACTCCAGTTTCAGCAGCAGCGACTCCAACTCCTCCTGTGAGTGAGCCGCAATTACCAGGTCATCAGCATACATAACGTGGTTGACTAATAGGGAGCCATCCCTTGATCGCACCCGGGCATCGATCAGCCTCCCATTGTATCTGCACCAGATGTAAATTCCTTCGGTACAGCTACTGAAGGCCTCACTAGTTTTGGTGGGGCTGATGGTAAGGCTGATGGTAGACTCACGCAGTCACTCACCCGCACACTCACCCACACACTCACCCACACACTCACCCGCACACTCACCCACACACACATACTCACCCACACACTCACCCACACACTCACCCACACACTCACCCGCACACTCACCCACACACTCACCCGCACACTCACCCGCACACTCACCCGCACACTCACCCGCACACTCACCCGCACACACACTCACCCGCACACTCACCCGCACACTCACCCGCACACTCACCCACACACTCACCCACACACTCACCCGCACACTCACCCGCACACTCACCCACACACTCACCCACACACTCACCCACACACTCACCTGCACCTCCGATTAGCACAGTGGGCTACGTACAATGCAAACTCTGATGGTGCATTGTCTTTGAGTTGTGCGCCTTTTGGCGTCATCTGGTCCAACACCATGTGAGACTAGGCTCTAAGGAAAGCTGTCTCGGGTGTGGACCAATCAACTTCAAGGACAGTGCATATCATTATCAGAGTTATATTTTTTTGTTTGCATTATGACTGCAGGTATTGTGGTCTCTGCAAACATGACTCCTCGTAAAAAGGTGTCAGTTTTGTTGCCAGATAAAAGGGTAAATAAGTATAACCCGTAAAAACAAAGTTTTTCACTATAAATCCTTTATATGCGTGGCGGCTAGAGTCCTCTCGTCCTCTGGCTTGAGATGGCTGCCACCTATGGGTCAGATGATTGCATTGCACCATTAAGCAATTGGTAATTAAACAAAATATTTTTGTCCTAAAAAGTGTAAAATTTTGGAATTTTTTCACGAACATTAATTGTCAAGCACAACGAGTCTGTGTGGAAAATGTCAGCTCGATTGGATCACGTGAAGTGGGTTAAAAAACGACCGAAATATTTGCACGGTCGTAAGCGCGCAAGCAAGCGAACTTAATATAAAGGATTTAAAAAACAATTATCATATTTTTTACTGGCAAATGAGGTTCCATTGGTGGTGCATTAGAAGTTCAACGTGCACGCATTCCTGCGACGCGAATGATCTTACAATGCACGCACCTGGCTCCTCCTCCTCATCCTCCTCTTCCTCAGAGTGGGACTGCGGAGAGAACCTCTTCATGTCCAGCAACCCACGGTCGTGGGACGAGGCAGTGCGCAGCTGGTACGACGAGGTCACCTCCCCCGGCTTCCAGTACGGCACGGGGGCTGTGGGGCGCGGGGCCGTGGGACACTACACTCAGGTGAGGGGCCACGCTCACCACCACCACCACGCTCACCACCACCACGCTCACCACCACCACCACGCTCACCACCACCACGCTCACCACCACCACGCTCACCACCACCACGCTCACCACCACCACGCTCACCACCACCACCACGCTCACCACTACCACCACGCTCACCACCACCACGCTCACCACCACATGCTCACCACCACCACCACCACGCTCACCACCACCACGCTCACCACCATCACCACGCTCACCACCACCACAACCACCACCACCACGCTCACCACCACCACCACTACCACGCTCACCACCACCACCACTACCACGCTCACCACCACCATCACCACGCTCACCACCACCACCACCACCACCACGCTCACCACCACCACGCTCACCACCATCACCACGCTCACCACCACCACCACCACCACCCTCACCACCACCACCACCACCACGCTCACCACCACCACCATCACCACGCTCACCACCACCACCACGCTCACCACCACCACCACGCTCACCACCACCACCACCACGCTCACCACCACCACCACTACCACGCTCACCACCACCACTACCACGCTCACCACCACCACCACCACGCTCACCACCACCACCACGCTCACCACCACCACGCTCACCACCACCACCACGCTCACCACCACCACGCTCACCACCACCACCACGCTCACCACCACCATGCTCACCACCACCACCACGCTCACCACCACCACGCTCACCACCACCACCACGCTCACCACCACCACCAGGGTGAGGGTCGTGAGTCTGGGGGCTGCAAGCTGCACCGTGTAGCAGTCAGCCGCCCCGTGCGATCGCTCAACTCGCACCCCCCCTTCCCCCCGTGTCCGCGTGCCCCCCCCCCGCCCCGCCCCCCCCCCCAGGTGGCGTGGTACAAGTCCCACCAGGTGGGCTGCGCCGTCAACTACTGCCCCAACCACCCCGGCGCCCTCAAGTTCCTCTACGTGTGCCACTACTGCCCCGCGTGAGTTAGCGGACCCACCCCACAACACCCCCCCACCCACCCACCCCCCAACACCCCCTAACACCTCCCCCACCCACCCCCAAACCCCCCCCACCCACTCCCCAACACCCCCCACCTACCCCCCACCCACCCCCCAACACCCCCCACCCACTCCCCCACCCACCCCCCACCCATCCCCCAACACTCCCCCCACCCACCCCCCAACACCCCCCACCCACTCCCCAACACCCCCCACCCACCCCCCACCCACCCCCCAACACTCCCCCCACCCACCCCCCAACACCCCCCCACCCACTCCCCAACACCCCCCAACCACCCCCCACCCACTCCCCCACCCACCCCCCAACACTCCCCCCACCCACCCCCAACACCCCCCACCCACTCCCCAACACCCCCCCAGCCACTCCCAAACACTTCCCCCACCCACCCCCCAACACCCCTCCACCCACTCCCCAACACCCACCAACCACCCCCCACCCACTCCCCCACCCACCCCCCACCCACCCCCCAACACTCCCCCCACCCACCCCCCAACACCCCCCACCCACTCCCCAACACCCCCCCCACCCACTCCCAAACACTTCCCCCACCCACCCCCCAACACCCCTCCACCCACTCCCCAACACCCCCCAAACACCCCCCACCCACTCCCTAACATCTCCCCCACCCACCCCCCAACACCTCCCCCACCTACCTCCCACCATCCTCCCCACTGCGTGCAGAGGGAACCTGGTCACCAGGATCAACAAACCCTACGACCTGGGGACTCCGTGCCAGGCCTGCCCCCATAGCTGCGACAACAACCTGTGCAGTGAGTTACACGCACACCCACGGCACACACTCACGCACCCACGCACACACCCACGCACCCACATGCCCACGCACCCACGCACCCACGCATACACCCACGCACACACTCACGCACCCACACACCCACGCACACACTCACGCACTCACACCCACGCACCCACGCACACACCCACGCACCCACGCACACACCCACGCACCCACGCACACACTCACGCACTCACGAACCTACACGCACACGCAAGTACCCACACACCCACGCACACCCACACACCCACGTGCACACCCACGCACCCACGTACACCCACACACACCCACCCACACACCCACGCACGCACTCACGCACTCACGAACCTACAGGCACACACACGCACGCACCCACACACCCACACGCACACCCACGCACCCACGTGCACACCCACGCACCCACGCACACCCACACACACCCACCCACGCACACATGAACCCACGCACGCACTCATGAACCTACTCGCACACGCACGCACCCACACACCCACTCGCACACCCATGCACACCGATGCACCCACGCGCACACCCACACACCCACGCACACCCACACACACACCCACAGAGGCCGATCTTGACACCGCTGGTACTAATCAACGGCAAGTCCACTCAGCTCCACATCCTCTAGTCCGTGCCGCGCCCGTTTAGCCCCTTCGATCCGGCTGAACAAAAGCTGTTTGGGCATGCGGTGATTGGGCATGCGGGCTACATGGCCCAACCAACGCAGCCTTGCCTGCCGGAGGTGCAACCGATTGGACTTTGTCCAGATTTCGAGGAATTATGAGCTCCTCACACAATCCAGCCTGGTTAAACCCAGGATTGATCGTAGGCAGGCCAGCCTAAATGTTTCTAACCGGCGAAGATGCTCCATTAGGGGGGTCCACGTTTCGCAAGCGTAGAGAAGGGAGGGAATGACTGTGGCCGAGAAGACCCGAAGCTTCGTGCGGAGCGACAGACCAGGTAGCTTCCACACAGCGTTACGCAACCGACCAAAAGATAATGCCGCTAGACTGATTCGGAGTGAGACCTCTGCTGTTAAACAGGAGCTGGTCATGAGCATATTGCCCAGGTATGGGAAACTCTCCACTCTCTCCACAACTGCCCCATCACCAATTGGGAGTTGTGGGGGTGGAGTGTCAGATGATACAAAATACCCAGGCAGGTGCTTCGTTTTGGTGGGGCTGATGGTAAGGTCCCACCTCTTAGTGTCACACTCCAGTTTCAGCAGCAGCGACTCCAACTCCTCCTGTGAGTGAGCCGCAATTACCAGGTCGTCAGCATACATAACGTGGTTGACCAATAGGGAGCCATCCCTTGGCCGCACCCGGGCATCGATCAGCCTCCCATTGTATCTGTACCAGATGGAAATTCCTCTGGTACAGCTACTGAAGGCCTCACAAACTACGTGGTCGAAATAGATGTTAAATAATGAGGGAGTCAGAGGACATCCCTGTCGCACCCCAAGGTGTACAGGGAATGACTCTGACTCCCGGCCACGTAGTTTTACCCGGGCCCGCTCACCATCATGAAGGTCCATAATGATCGTGAGCAGAGGGTCAGGGACTCCGCAAGCACGAACAACAACCCAGAACCCAGGCCTATTGATGGTATCATAGGCCTTGACCAGGTCAATGAAGCAGAGATGTAAGTCTTGTTGGAATTCCCTACACCTCTGCTGTAGCAGACTGACAGAAAATATGGCATCTGTGCAGGACCGCCCTTTCCTGGCACCGCATTGGGGCTCCGCAAGCCTCTCCTCAGCGTGCCTAGCAAGGCGATGTTGAATAATCCTTGCCAGGACCTTTCCCGGCACACTGAGGAGTGAGATTCCCCTGTAGTAGTTACAGTCTGTGCGGTCCCCCTTCTTAAAGAGGGGGACCACCAGGGCATCCATCCAATCCTGCGGTACCCGTCCAGCGGTCCAGACAGTTGTTATGATGTCATATAGGGCAGTCTGTGCACAAGCGCCACCCTCCCTCAGAATTTCGCTTGGGAGATCATCTCTGCCCGGTACCTTTCCTGGTCTCAGACTCCGGATCGCCTTCAGTACTTCCTCAACAGATGGCACCTCAGCCAGCCACTCACAGGGGGTGACCTCCTCCAATATTTGGGGCACCGCAGCCTCAGCAGGGTTATCACCACTTTGTGCCATGATGTTTTCCTGGCTGAGAGATTTTCCCTTCCCCAGGACCTCACAGAAATGCTCAGCAAATCTGCAAACCTGTTCCTGGGGGTCGGAGATTGGATCACCGTTTTTTTCCCTAATGATGGTAATAGGTGTGGTGCTGCAGGTTACTTTTTTGATGGAGTTAAATAGTGATTTGTGATCGCGGGCCACTGAGGCAGATTCCATCTCCTCAGCAACCCGCGACCACCACCCATCCTTGCAGCGCCTTACGGCTCTCCGAACCTCCGAGCGAAGGCTGCGGTAAACCTCCTCATTCTCTGACGTGGGATGCTGTAGCCGATGAGAGTGGGCCTGTCGCTTTTTCTCAATTAACCTGAACACCTCCTCTGTCAGCCAGGGTTTCTGGGGAGGTCTGGACCCCGTACCCAAAGCATCCATTGCAGCTGCATGAGTCACAGTCCTAAACCTCGCCCATTTACCCTCGACATCAGGTGGAGTGGGGGACGATGCCAACCCCAGCTGCAAGCGATGATGAAATTCTCGCTTGCAACTTTCATCAGCTAACTGAGACCAGGCCACTTTTGGTTGGAATGGGATCCTGGGTGTACACCCACCACCAGAGTGGAAGAATGGCAGGCGCATCTTACAGATGACTAGTCGATGGTCAGAGGGCAGATCAGCTCCACGGTAGGTCCTGGTGTCAAGGACATGGGCTCGCATCCGCTGGTCCGTCACTATGTAGTCCAGCAGATGTTCTTGCTTGGACCCGGCATGCATCCATGATGTTGTGTGGATGCGCCGATGCCGGAAGAGCGTGTTGGTAATTACAAGCCCATGGGCTGCACAAAAATCTAGCAGCCTCCTACCGTTGTTATTGAGCTGATCTGGCCCATGCCTTCCAATCACTCCAGACCAGGTGCCAGCATCATGACCAACTCGGGCATTGAAGTCACCTAACAAGATGACTCTGTCCCGAGTGGCCACTTTAGCCAGCACCTGTGACAGCAGGTCATAGAAAGCGTCTGACTCATCGGCTTTGCTTGCATCCCTCCACGGATGTTCGTCTTCGGTGGGGGCATAAGTAACCACGACCACCACTCCTCACCTCCGGTTGATGGGAAGGCGAGCCCAAAGTATCCTGGGGCTTACAGCTTCCCACACCTCACCGCCACGCTCTCACGCCCCCTTCATTCTTTTGTTCAGAAGAAGAGCCACACCCTGTTGTTTGGCAGTCTCCTGCCCCGAGTAGAGGACTGTCCACCCCTCATGGTGGCAGGAGCCAGAGCCGGTCCACCGGACCTCCTGAATGCCACAGAGATCCAGGCGGTACCGGTCCAGCTCCCGACAAAGGAGTGGCAGCCTCTCCTCCGCAGTGAGCGTTCGAACATTCCACGTGGCCATCCGCAATGGTTTTTCGTTGTTTCTGGAGGCGCCCCAAGGGTGAAGATTCAATCTCCTGGCTCCGCCAAATGGGGTTTGGCCAGGAGACGTCATAAAAGCCTGACCCCCCGGGGCCTCCGGCACAAGCTTATTAGTTACAGGTTAATTTTGTTTTATTCGTGGTTTTGTGGTAATTAATTGAAGGTGGAGGGGTTACCAGCCCCTCGCACCCGTCCAGAGCCCCCGTTTAGCCACTGTGGTGGTCACAGACGCCATGAGGGGAGAGGCCAATGGGCATTGGCCCCTCCCCTCACAGCACTGTCCACGACGGCGTTGCCCGTCTGGCACCGCGAGGAGGTAGGAGGTTGTTTTGCCGGACACACAGACTCACACACAGACTGAAACACAGCACAGACTCACTCACACACAGACTCACACACAGACTCACACACACACAGACTCACACACACACAGACTCACACACAGACTCACACACAGACAGACTCACACACACACAGACTCACACACAGACTCACACACACACAGACTCACACACAGACAATCACACACACAGACTCACACACAGACTCACACACACACAGACTCACTCACACACAGACTCACACACACAGACTCACACACAGACAATCACACACACAGACTCACACACAGACTCACACACACACACAGACTCACACACAGACTCACACACACACAGACTCACACACAGACTCACACACACACACAGACTCACACACAGACTCACACACACACAGACTCACACACAGACTCACACACACACAGAGTCACACACACACAGACTCACACACAGACTCACACACACACAGACTCACACACAGACTCACACACAGACTCACTCACACTCAGACTCACACACCCTTGATCTTCGCAGCCAACCCGTGCCCCTACGTGGACCAGTTCAGCAACTGCCCGCAGCTGTTCAGCGCCCACGGCTGCGCGAACGACGGCTCGGGGGGAACCTTCGTGCAGACAAACTGCCCTGCCACGTGCAGCTGCACGACGGATGTGCAGTGATGGCACCTCGTCACGACTCGCTACACCCCCAACCCCCTCGCTCCACCCCCCTCGCTCCCCCTCGCTCTACACACCTCGCTCCACCCCCCTCGCTTCACCCTCACCCCCCTCGCTCCCCCCCTCGCTCCACCCCCTCGCTCCACCCCCCATCTCGCTCCACCCCCACCTCGCTCCACCCCCCTCACTCCCCCTCGCTCCACCCCCACCCACCTCGCCCCCCCCCTCACTCCCCCCCACCCCCTCGCTTCACCCCCACCCACCCTCGCTCCCCCCCCTCACTCTACCCCCATCCACCTCGCTCCACCCCCCACCTCCCTCGCTCCACCCCCACCTCGCTCCACCCCCTCGCTCCACCCTCACCCCCCTCGCTCCCCCCCTCACTCCCCCCCCTCGCCCGCCCCGCCCCCCGGCCGGCTCGTCCACTGGGGGGGGGGCAGAGCTTTGTGACGTCATATTTGAGGGGGGGGGGGTCTGACTTTTGTGACGTCGTGTGACGAAGGGGGGGGGGGGTCAAAAATCGTCCAAAATCGCGTGACGTCATTTATGGACGGCCCCAATGAAGGCCGACACGGCCACGCTAGGGGAGGGAGGTGGGTGGACAGCACTACGCCCGGCCGCCTTTGTCTCCCCTCGTGGTACTCAATTGAGGCTGAGTCGACCTAGGGGAGACCCAGGACCGGTTCGGATATTCGCTACTGGTGTTCGTGGCCGTGAGCGTGAATCGAACTCGGGTCGCTGGGGTCGTAGCGCAGCGTAGCGCTGACCGCTACAACAACCGCCACCACCCACCACCACCCCCTCCCACCAACTACCACCAACTACCACCAACCACCCACCCACCACCAACCAACCACCACCAACCATCCACCACCCTCTCTCACCAACTACCACCAACGACCATCAACCAACCACCACAAACCAACCACCAACCACAGCCAACCACCACCAACCAACCACCAACCACAATCAACCACCACCACCCACCACCAACCAACCACCACCACCCACCACCACCAACCACCGCCACTCACCACCAACCACCCACCACCCACCACCAACCACCCACCACCAACCAAACTACACCACCCACCACCACCACCCACCACCACCACCCACCACCAACCACCCACCACCACCACCCACCACCAACCACCCACCACCAACCACCCACCACCAACCAAACAACACCACCCACCACCACCCACGACCCACCACCCACGACCCCCTCCCACCAACTACCACCAACCAACCACCACCAGCCACCACCCCTCCCACCAACCAACCACCACCACTCCCTCCCACCACCAACCACCGCCAACCAACCACCACCACCCACCACCACCACCCACCACCAACCACCCACCACCAACCAAACAACACCACCCACCACCACCCACGACCCACCACCCACGACCCCCTCCCACCAACTACCACCAACCAACCACCACCAGCCACCACCCCTCCCACCAACCAACCACCACCACTCCCTCCCACCACCAACCACCGCCAACCAACCACCACCACCCACCACCACCGCCGACCAACCACTACCACTAACCACCACCACCCACCAACCACCCCCTGCTCCACGTAACAAACGCGGCCACCGCTCTGCGTCAACGTCCATCCGGAGGAAGAAAGCGAAGACGCAAAGCAGCGGAGTAGGTGGCGCACAGAGATACAACAACAACAACAGCCCTAACCTGGGAGTCAACTCGTCTCGTCGTCGTGCAGGAGAGTTGCTGCCTATCTGAGTCAGCGCCGTCAACGTTAGACGGCTCGTGTTGTGTACAGCCGAGGCATGAGCTACCGTGGGGAGTGTGTGTGGACGAGTCGGCGGTGAACGGTGTTGATAAATAAGGTGCCTCCTACAAACATTGTCCCCGACTCGTTGACACTACACATGCGTAATAAAGCACTTCGTCACACACTGCTCGTCTCCGTTGCTCTTTATTTAGCTTCTTGCTCGCACCCCGCTGGTCCCGACAGCGGACCAGCGTCTCCTCACGCGCGCCCCGCACGCGCCCCCTCGTCAGTCCTTCCGCTCCCCCACTCCGCACACCGCTGGCCGACGGCGTGCCGAAGCCCCTCCAGCCACGTGGCTGATGGCGCGGATCCCCTCCGGCCACCCAACGTGGTCCAGCTTCTTCACTCCAGCAACTGACCCGGAGCCCTTCCGGGACCCCACCTATATTCCCTTTACCACGTGATCCTGTCTCCTCCCCTTCCGGACCGTCACATCCGGCCTTCCCATAGCGCCCTGCTGGCTCCACCCCCGTTCACCTCGCTTCCGATTGGACCCGAGGTGAACGGCGGGCCCTCCCACACGACCCCCATACCGGGCTCCGCCCCCCAATACACCGGGCCGTGTGATCGGGCCAGAGCCCAGCAGCGAACCCCGTTAACGCTCGCAATACACATGCATGGACTCGCATCGTCACTCGCCCACACAACTCACCCATCCTCTGATTAGCACGGTTGGCTACGTACGGTGCGAACGAAGTTCAACGTGCACACTTATGCGTAAAGTCGAGTTGCGTGGACTGTTTCAATCCGTGAATTCCTCCCATCGTACCCCTCTCCCCCACCCCATCCCCCAAAACTCTGACAACTCCAACCACACCATTGGAACCTCATTTGCCAGAAGAAAAAATATGAGAATTGGTTTTTTTACCCTTTTATCTGGCAACAAAACTGACACCACCTAACTCGGTTTGAACCACCTCTCCGGGGAGGGTTTTCCGTGCGTGTATAGAAGTGTATAGTAGTGTATAGTGTAGTGCTATAGTAGTGTAGTGCTATAGTAGTGTATAGTAGTGTATAGTGTAGTGTATAGTAGTGTATAGTGTAGTGTATAGTAGTGTAGTGCTATAGTAGTGTATAGTAGTGTATAGTGTAGTGTATAGTAGTGTATAGTGTAGTGCTATAGTAGTGTAGTGCTATAGTAGTGTATAGTAGTGTATAGTGTAGTGTATAGTAGTGTATAGTAGTGTAGTGTATAGTAGTGTAGTGTATAGTAGTGTAGTGCTATAGTAGTGTATAGTGTAGTGCTATAGTAGTGTATAGTGTAGTGTATAGTAGTGTATAGTAGTGTAGTGCTATAGTAGTGTATAGTGTAGTGGTATAGTAGTGTATAGTGTAGTGTAAAGTAGTCTAGTGCTATAGTAGTGTATAGTGTAGTGGTATAGTAGTGTATAGTGTAGTGTATAGTAGTGTAAAGTGTAGTGTATAGTAGTGTATAGTGTAGTGTATAGTAGTGTAGTGTATAGTAGTGTATAGTGTAGTGTATAGTGTATAGTAGTGTAGTGTATAGTGTAGTATACTAGTACAGCACACCGGTTGTGTGTTGGAGAGCCAAGCCACAACATTTACAATCTGAGTACGATTTTTTGCCAGTAATTACAACCAGCTTCATCAGGCGACAGCCAGATTTGTGAAGTCCACCTGTTTCGTTCCTTATATAGAGACGTATATGTGGTGATTATTGAGGCAACGTGCATTATGAATGTGCATTATGCGAGCCCTTTGAACTTGTCCTTCCTGTCTATTGTGTTTATTCAATAGGGATTACCGTTGGTAAGGCTATTTTAATAAACAGGACGTGGAGAAAAAGCCACGTGACCACAGGAAGAGAGAGAGAAATGCAAATTTCAAATATACAGCAGCAGGTGCCAGGGTCGGGATCGACCCCACGACCTCCTGTATACCAGGCGAGGTAGTTAACATCTCCTAGCCACCGTGATGATGATGAGAGAGAGAGACACGCAAATTCCAAATACACAGCAACAGGTGTCAGGGCCGGGATCGACCCCACGACCTCCTGTAAACCAGTAGTTAGCACGGCGCATTCATCGCGGTCCCTTGACTTGGGTATAATGATGTATTACAACGGTCCTTTGCATCAGACCCGATTGAAAGGTGGTGTGTTCACCGCGGTCCCTTCGAGTCACAGTGAAGTCCTGGTCACAAAAGGAAAGTTTGTCGGGAATAATCGCCATTTTCTATACTTTTTAGGCATAAGCAATTAAAAATTATAACACTGAGTACCCAGGAACAAAAATTGTGTTACATAGTGTTACATTCACCGCGGTCCCTTCAATCCGCTGTGTAATTCATTCACTGCGGTCCCTTCAATCCACTGTGCAATTCATTCACCGCGGTCCCTTCAATCCACTGTTTAATTCATTCACCGCAGTCCCTTCAATCCACTGTGTAATTCATTCACCGCAGTCCCTTCAATCCACTGTGCAATTCATTCACTGCGGTCCCTTCAATCCACTGTGTAATTCATTCACCGCGGTCCCTTCAATCCACTGTGCAATTCATTCACCGCGGTCCCTTCAATCCACTGTGTAATTCATTCACCGCAGTCCCTTCAATCCGCTGTTTAATTCATTCACCGCGGTCCCTTCAATCCACTGTGCAATTCATTCACCGCGGTCCCTTCAATCCACTGTGTAATTCATTCACCGCGGTCCCTTCAATCCGCTGTTTAATTCATTCACCGCGGTCCCTTCAATCCACTGTGCAATTCATTCACCGCGGTCCCTTCAATCCACTGTGTAATTCATTCACCGCGGTCCCTTCAATCCACTGTGCAATTCATTCACCGCGGTCCCTTCAATCTACTGTTTAATTCATTCACCGCGGTCCCTTCAATCCACTGTGCAATTCATTCACGGCGGTCCCTTCAATCTACTGTGTAATTCATTCACCGCGGTCCCTTCAATCCACTGTGCAATTCATTCACCGCGGTCCCTTCAATCGACTGTGCAATTCATTCACCGCGGCCCCTTCAATCCACTGTGTAATTCATTCACCGCGGTCCCTTCAATCCACTGTGCAATTCATTCACCGCGGTCCCTTCAATCGACTGTGCAATTCATTCACCGCGGCCCCTTCAATCCACTGTGTAATTCATTCACCGCGGTCCCTTCTCTGCCTACTGTATGCGTCGCGTGTTCACCGCGGCCCCTTGTGCCTACTGTACAAGGTGCATTCACCACACGAAGATGCGTTTCGGCGTGCGGCTCGTGGTAAATACTTCTCGCCTCGACAGAACCACCACAACAACTCACTCCCCGTCTCACGCCTGCCACCATCTCTCCCGTACAATCATCGTCGTCGTCATCGTCGTCACCATCATCATCGTCATCATCATCATCATCGTCGTCATCATCATCATTGTCATCATCATTGTCATCATCATCATTGTCATCATCATCATTGTCATCATCATCATTGTCATCATCATCATTGTCATCATCATCATCGTCATCATCATCATCATTGTCATCATCATCGTCATCATCATCATCATTGTCATCATCATCATTGTCATCATCATCGTCATCATCATCATCATTGTCATCATCATCATTGTCATCATCATCGTCATCATCATCATCATTGTCATCATCATCATCGTCATCATCATCGTCATCATCATCATCATTGTCATCATCATCATCGTCATCATCATCATCGTCATCATCATCATCATTGTCATCATCATCATCGTCATCATCATCATCGTCATCATCATCATCATTGTCATCATCATCATCGTCATCATCATCATCGTCATCATCATCATCATTGTCATCATCATCATTGTCATCATCATCATTGTCATCATCGTCATCATCATTGTCATCATCATCATCGTAACATTGCTCAACTCAATAGAAGTGTTGCCATAACTCGTTTCTGTGTACAACTCTTTGACATTGCTCTTTGGTTCTTTCGGTAAAGTCACGTATAAAGATAAAATAATACATTAAATAATAGCACACTACGACGTTGCGATTGCAACACAAGCAATCGTCATCAGGTATAAAAGAAATAGCAACAAAAATTATAACCAGAAAACTATAGACAGACATATAAGCAGACAGACATCACCAAGATACAGAGAGGGAGATCGTCTCTGTCTATTTAAGGCCTCGCCACAGAGACGATCTCCCTCTCTGTGCCTGTGTTGCTCTCTCTCTATGTATCTTGGTGATATCTGTCTGCTTATATGTCCGTCTATAGTTTTCTGGTTAGATTTTTGTTGCTATTTCATTTATACCTGATGATGATTTGATTGTGTTGCAATCGAAACGTCGTAGTATGCTAGTATTTAATTTATTATTTTATCTTTATACGTGACTTCACCGAAAGAACCAAAGAGTAATTCCTACAGTCACGAAAGCTCCACATTTAAGATCTTGACAGTGCTGTTTGTTGCTACCCGCTTGGTAGCCAGCACTCAGCACCTCCGATCGGCAACGGTTGGCTACGTACGGTGCGAAGAAAGTTCAGCCCACGTGCATTGGCTGCGTCGTGTGCGCAAGAGTGTGACGGTCATGCCTCTCACGGCTAAGGCGGCACCCCCCCTCTCTCTCTGTCTCTCACTGTGTGGCGATTGTGTTGTGTGTGTGTGTTGAGGTGTGTTGAGTTGTGTGGTGTGTGTTGTGTGTGTGTTGTGTGTGTGTGTTGAGGTGTGTTGAGTTGTGTGGTGTGTGTTGTGTGTGTGTGTTGAGGTGTGTTGAGTTGTGTGGTGTGTGTTGTGTGTGTGTTGTGTGTGTGTGTTGAGGTGTGTTGAGTTGTGTGGTGTGTGTTGTGTGTGTGTTGTGTGTGTGTGTTGAGGTGTGTTGAGTTGTGTGGTGTGTGTTGTGTGTGTGTGTTGAGGTGTGTTGAGTTGTGTGGTGTGTGTTGTGTGTGTGTTGTGTGTGTGTGTTGAGGTGTGTTGAGTTGTGTGGTGTGTGTTGTGTGTGTGTGTTGAGGTGTGTTGAGTTGTGTGGTGTGTGTTGTGTGTGTGTTGTGTGTGTGTTGAGGTGTGTGTTGTGTGTGTATGGTGTGTGTGTTGTGTGTGTATGGTGTGTGTGTGGTGTGTATGGTGTGTGTGTGCTGTGTGTTGTGTGTGTGTTGTGTGTGGTGTGTATGGTATGTTGTGTGTGTGTTGTGTGTATTGTGTGTGTGTTGAGTTGTGTTGTGTGTGTTGTGTGTGTGTTGTGTTCTCCCCGCAGGTCTGGAGAGTGTTGTGTTGTGTGTGTGTGTTGTGTAGGGTGTGTGTTGCTGTGTGTGTTGTGTGTGTGGTGTGTGTGTTATGGTCTGTGTGTTGTGTGTTGAGTTGTGCTGTGTGTGTATTGTGTGTGTTGTGTGTGTTCTCCCCGCTGGTCTGGAGAGTGTTGTGTTGTGAGTGTTGTATTGTGTGTGTGTTGTGTATGGTGTGTGTGTTAAGTTGTTGTGTGTGTGTTGTCTATGCGTGTGTTGTGTGTGTGTTGAGTGTGTGGTGTTTTTGTATGTGTGTTGTGTGTTGTGTGTGTTGTGTGTGTGTTGTGTATGTGTGTGGTGTGTGTGTGTTGTGTGTGTGTGTTGTGTGTGTGTGGTGTGTATGGTATGTTGTGTGTGTGTTGTGTGTATTGTGTGTGTGTTGAGTTGTGTTGTATGTGTTGTGTGTGTGGTGTGTGTGTTCTCCCCGCTGGTCTGGAGTGTTGTGTGTGTTGTGTGTGTGGTGTGTGTGGTGTGTGTGTGTTGAGTGTGTTGTGTATGGTGTGTGTGTTGTATGTGTGTGGTGTGTGTGTGTTGTATGTGTGTGGTGTGTGTGCTGTATGTGTGTGGAGTGTGTGTTGTGTGCTTTGTGTGTGTGTTGTGTGTGTGTGGAGTGTGTGTTGTGTGTGTATGGTGTGTGTGTTGTGTGCTGTGTGTGTTGTGTGCTGTGTGTGTGTGTGGTGTGTGTGTGTGTGGTGTGTGTGTGTGGTGCGTGTGTGTGCGGTGTGTGTATGTTGTGTGTGTGTATGGTGTGTGTGTTGAGTTGTGTGTGTGTTGTGTGTGTGTGTGTTGTGTGGGGAGCGATGTTGTACTTAGCCCGGCAAATCTCCGAGTTCGATTCCCGCTCACGGCCACCAACAGCAGCATCAGTGATTCTCTGAACCGGTCCTGGACCCCCCCCCCCCCCCCGTATCGTCTCAAGGCTTAAACGAGCAACCTGTTGCGATGTGTAAACATCGCCACTCGGGGAGACAAAGGCGGCCGGGCGTGTGCCCCATTGGCCGTCAAAGGTGCTCGCTAACAGCACTTGCCCCAACAGCCTGCTACAGGCTATGGGGTTCTGTATGGGTTTTCACCGGGTTTCTCTCCTATACCAGACACAATGTATCTTCTTGGTTCTTTCGGTAAAGTCACGTAGAAGGGAAGTAATACAGTAATAAAATAAAACATAATAAAATAATTCTCACGACGTTTCGGCCACAACGCAAGCAGCCGTCCTCAGGTGAAGACCAGGTCTGTCGGGGAGACAGCGTCTGAATGAGAATTATTTTATTATGTTTTATTTTTATTATTTTATTACTTCCCTTCTACGTGATGACTTTACCGAAAGAAACAAGAAGATGAATCCCTGCAGTCACGAAAGCTTTAAATCGAGACACAATGTAACTGCTTAAAACATCGCACTCATTAAAAATGACCTTCAATTAGGGTCACACGCAGAAGCAGCAACAGCAACAACATCGCCCCAACTGCGAACCAGAGGTCGCAACCGGGTACCCGATACCCGTACCCTACCCGATACCCGTACCCTACCCGATACCCGTACCCTACCCGATACCCGTACCCTACCCGATACCCGTACCCTACCCGATACCCGTACCCTACCCGATATCCGTACCCTACCCGATACCCGTACCCTACCCGATACCCGTACTCTACCCGATACCCGTACCTACCCGTACCCGTACCTACCCGATACCCTACCCTACCCGATACCCGTACCCTACCCGATATCCGTACCCTACCCGATACCCGTACCCTACCCGATACCCGTACTCTACCCGATACCCGTACCCTACCCGATACCCGTACCCTACCCGATACCCGTACCCTACCCGATACCCGGCTACCCGTACCCGGCCGGGTACGGGTAGCCGTTTGCGACCCTGGTGCGGCCGGGTACGGGTAGGCCGTGAGTCACTGGTGAGTAACTGTGATTGTCACTCATTTCCCAACGTCTTGTCTCTTCTCACAATTTAAGTTCCTAGAATCAACCCACCCGCGCCTGCAACATGGCTTCATCCCAGAGGTCGCAATCAGGTACCCGATACCAGTACCCTACCCGTACGGGTACCCGTTTGCGACCCTGGTGCGGCCGGGTACGGGTACGGGTAAAGAATCAAAACCCGTTTGTGACCTCTGCTGCGAAAGCGTTGACAGGACCCAACCCGACAAAGATTTTTGAGAGTCATTGAAGCTTTCCTGGGTAGCCAAGCGGGATAGTGTGACGTCGTGGGGAGGTGTAGGTCCCCGAGGTTTACTCGGCCTGAAATGAGTAGCTGGTGCGGTGTGTAGACTTCGCCACTGGGGAGACAAAGGCGGCCGGGCGTGGTGCTGGCCACACACCCACCCACCCCCTCGTGTGCCGTGCCGACCTTCATAGGTGCTGCTCGTAAACTGCACTTGCCCGTACAGTCTGTTAAGGCTACACGGGGGATCTTTGTCTTTGTGTGTGTGTGCCATAGGTGGGGAGCGGTGGTGTAGCGGTTAGCGCTACGCTGCGCTATGAACCCGGCGACCCGGGTTCGATTCCCGCTCACGGCCAACACCGGTGACGATTATCTGAACCGGTCATTGATCCTCCCCTAGGTCGACTCGGCCTCAAATGAGTACCTGGTGCGGTGTGTAGTAAACATCGCCACTGGGGAGACAAAGGCGGTCGGGCGTGGTGCTGGCCACCCACCCCCTCGTGTGCCGTGCCGACCTTCATAGGTGCTGCTCGCAAACTGCACTTGCCCGTACAGTCTGTTAAGGCTACGTGGGGGGTCTTTATCTTTGTGTGTGTGTGTGTAGGTCTGCAGCATGAGCGGCGGTCGCATCTGCTCCCGACTTCTCTCAGTGACCCCGCTCAGCTGCAAAGTCAAATCGCGCAGATCGCTGAGTAAGTGATGGACGTGGCAGACGCTTGCGATGCCTGATTATAACACTGGTCAACGCACTTTTTCTGGCATAAGGTATTCCAACGGGTTTAAAGTACTGATTCCGAATCTGGCATCAGTTTTTGTCTATCACATCAGGTTTTTGAGATATCAAATATTGCATTTTCAATAAAAACTGCAGAAGAAAAATATTAAATAAATGTGGATATCTACATAAAATGATATTATAAACACACTATCCTAAAAATACAGCACCATATTTATCTACATAAAATGATATTATAAACACGCTATCCTAAAAATACAGCTCCTTATTTATCTACATAAAATTATATTATAAACACTATCCTAAAAAAACAGCACCATATTTTTACACTAAAGCAGTCACTGACTCGCAACAACTTGCAATCATAAGTAACAGAGTTAATTTCGGGTAAAATCAATGAAAATGGGGTATGCCGATAGCATAAAAATGAGATGTGATAGAGCAAATCTGAGATCAGATTTGGAATATGCACCCTGAAATTAGTCTAGAACAGCTGCAAAAGTCCAGGCCAGAAAAAAATGTTTTTTTTTTGTTGACCAGTGTAATAATAGAATCATTCATGTGAACATAAAGTCCACCGTGATCTCTTGCTGCCCTAACGAGCGTTGAGACATTGCCGTTCATCCTCCTGGTGGGAATTACACATTCCTGTGACAAGGGTGAGTCTGTCCACAGGGAAACCGCTGTTCACTTGCACACAAAGTGGAACAAGTTTATCGACCCCCTGAATGATGATGGGCAGAGTTAACCGCCTCAATCGGGATGATTAAATAAGAACCTTATGGCGGGAGCCCGTGCTCCCGAATAAAAGGAATTGAAAAATCGTAATTAGTAAATTTATTTTTGCCGACTCCGTCCCACCGCGCACACACAAATGCCGCTACCCACCAGAATTCAATCCTTTCGTTCTTCACCAAGCACCCGTCATTGCCAAAATTACCGTAGTCGTAAACAAAACTTTGAAACTTTGATCAGCGCGTCGTGTAGAGCTCGTCGAGAGGAAGAGATTGCCGCGGGGTTCGCCTTCATCAGACGTAAAATGACGTCGCAGCGCAGATCACGCGAGAGCCGGGGGCCTGTGAGACCCCGGGGGGTCCCGCCATGAGGTTCACGATGAACTCGCAACCATGAGGCTGAGAGAGACGCTCGCTACCGCTGAGCCTGTGTCGGCTATTGGCGTTAACCACGCGGCTGTTACAGGGGGATTGATCTGTGACGCAGGAGGGCAGTGGCCTTCATTGCAAGACCCGCGGGCCACAGACGGAGACTGGTGGCCTTTAGTGCGGTCCAGAGGTCGCAAACGGGTTTTGATTCCTTACCCGTACCCGGTCGCACCAGGGTCGCAAATGTGTACCCGTACCCGGCCGGGTACGGGTAGGGAACGGGTACCCGGCCGGGTACGGGTACCCGTTCCCTACCCATACCCTACCCGAAATGAGTGACAAACGGTTACTCACCAGTGACTCACGGCCTACCCGTACCCGTACCCGGCCGCACCAGGGTTGCAAACGGCTACCCGTACCTGTACCCAGCCGGGTTTCGAAAGACACAGCGACATTGCCTCCGAATGTGAAACTACGGTGGTACGTTCCAAGTTGATTCCGTTAATATTGTTGTCTTTATGCCTTGCAGGGAAATATGCGGCTCTAGCAGGATCGGTGATTGCAGGGTAAGATGGCTGTTCAGTTCCTGTTATTTTTATGATGTTTGTGAAGATACTTCACTCTAGGTGCTGTTTGTATCAAGTTAAAATATTATACTCTTTGGTTTTTTCGGTAAAGTCACGTAGGTGAAAATAATAATAAAAAAAAGTGAAAACAACTAAATTAAATCACTTTTTTATTTTTTATTCTATTATTATTTTCACCCACGTGACTTTACCGAAAGAACCAAAGAGTGTGGATCCTTGCAGTCACGAAAACTTCAAATCTACAATTAAAATCTTATTTTTGTTATTATATTAGTGTAGTGACTAACTCGGAGACAGTAAGATTGGAGGCACTTCTTTATTAACGAGCCCCATCGGCGCTAGCGCTCTTCATAGTCGGTCCCTCTATTGCCGGCGACGCTACTCAGCCAGGACATTTGGTAGGCTGCCTGACTGGCAGAGGTCGCAAACAGGTTTTGATTCCTTACCCGTACCTGTACCCGGCCGCACCAGGGTCGCAAACGGCTACCCGTACCCGGCCGTACCCGTACCCGGCCGGGTATCGGGTAGGGTACGGGTACCCGATTGCGACCTCTGGGATCAAGCCATGTTGCAGGCGCGGATGGGTTGATTCTAGGAACTTGAATTGTGAGAAGAGACAAGACGTTGGGAAATGAGTGACAAACAGTTACTCACCAGTGACTCACGGCCTACCCGTACCTGGTCGCACCAGGGTCGCAAACGGCTACCCGTACCCAGCCGGGTACGGGTAGCCGGGTATCGGGTAGGGTACGGGTATCGGGTACCCGGTTGCGACCTCTGCTGACTGGTGACGCCCCAAGATGACGAAGATGACGACGACGACGAGAAGAATGGTGACGAAGACTTGAGCAGCACGTCGGGGGGCTGTGTTGTGTGTGTGTGTACACCGGCTGTGTTGTGTGTGTGTGTGTGTACACCGGCTGTGTTGTGTGTGTGTGTGTGTACACCGGCTGTGTTGTGTGTGTGTGTGTACACCGGCTGTGTTGTGTGTGTGTGTGTGTACACTGGCTGTGTTGTGTGTGTGTGTGTACACCGGCTGTGTTGTGTGTGTGTGTGTACACCGGCTGTGTGTGTGTGTGTGTACACCGGCTGTGTTGTGTGTGTGTGTACACCGGCTGTGTTGTGTGTGTGTGTGTGTACACCGGCTGTGTGTGTGTGTGTACACCGGCTGTGTTGTGTGTGTGTGTGCGTACACCGGCTGCGTTGTGTGTGTGTGTGTGTACACCGGCTGTGTTGTGTGTGTACACCGGCTGTGTGTGTGTGTACACCGGCTGTGTTGTGTGTGTGTGTGCGTACACCGGCTGTGTTGTGTGTGTGTGTGTGTGTACACGCAGAGGCTGCGTGTTCGTCGCGTACGAGGCCGCGTCGCTGCGCTTGGCTCTGCAGATCCGGACGTCGGCCGTGGACGTGGAGAAGCTCAAGTCGTACATCTACATTGACACGGAGTCACCGCTGCCCCCCGGGAACCAGGGTCCGCTTGCTGCCCTCACTCACTTGCGCCGATTCTTCTCGAGAACTGGGGGGAGCGGTGGAGGCGTGGGAGGGAGGTTGGGCTGGGTGGGGCTGGGGCAGAGGTCGCAACCGGGTACCCGATACCCGTACCCTACCCGATACCCGGCAACCCGTACCCGGCCGGGTACGGGTAGCCGGGTACCCGTTTGCGACCCTGGTGCGGCCGGGTACGGGTACGGGTAGGCCGTGAGTCACTGGTGAGTAACCGTTTGTCACTCATTTCGGGTAGGGTACGGGTACGGGTAGGGAACGGGTACCCGTACCTGGCCGGGTACGGGTACGGGTACCCATTTGCGACCCTGGTGCGGCCTGGTACGGGTACGGGTAGTGAACGGGTACCCGTACCCGGCCGGGTACGAGTACGGGTACCCATTTGCGACCCTGGTGCGGCCGGGTACAGGTACGGGTAGGGAACGGGTACCCGTACCCAGCCGGGTACGGGTACGGGTACCCATTTGCGACCCTGGTGCGGCCGGGTACGGGTAAGGAAACAAAACCCGTTTGCGACCTCTGGGCCAGGGTTAGGAATATAATTAAGCTGTCCCTGAATTTAAACTCCCCAAGTCGGCCTGCCGCCACATCTGCAACACTCAAACCATCCTGCTGCTGCCTGCTGCACTGATTTGTTTCAAGTTCAAGTTCATGTATTAGGTATAGAGCCTTGTGAGCCATTCGGCTCTTGAATCGGGTGCAACCGCAACAAACAAAAAACAAAAACATGAACAAAAAACATCTTAAAGTGAATATGTGACTGAGTGCAAACAGAAAATCCATAGAAAAGACAGCAGAATATTGCAGAAAAAAATCACCGCACATCAACGCTTCTGTTACCTCGACTCAACAGGGACGTTTTATGTCTGCCGGTTGAGTCGCCCTTGGAAAAAGAGCTTGGCTTTACTCAGGAAATAAACTTCTGATTCATATCAATCTTTTCATGCCCCACCCTTTCCTTTTTAGACCGCCTCCTCTGAATGCCCCACCCTTTTACTCTATTGGCTCCCAGCTCCTTTCCATTTTAGGTCCCACCCCCTTGTTCTTTAGGCCCCGCGTCTTTCCGTTCAGACGCCGCCGATTCGGCATTGAGACGTCATCTGTTGCGTGGGCCGCACACTCATCTGCTGCATGCCTTGGGATCAAAGTGGCAGAGGAGTTGGTGGTGGTGGTGGTCGCGATGAATCTGAACGCCGTGTCTACGATGTGTGCAGGTCTCCCCGAGCGTGTGAGGACCGGCCTACACAGGCTGCGGCGGAGGCTGTACGAGGCCACGCTCGGGAGGCTGTGGAAGCCGCTGGATGGTGAGTCTCTCCCAGAGTACTACGAGCTTGAAACGATATTGAGTGTGCAGTTCGAGTTCACTTCGAGGGGACTGGGCAGGTCAGAGGTCAGAGCGCCGAGCTGGAACCGCCGATATCCTCGGTTTGGGCCCAGGATCATGGCCAGCGCTTGAACCAGGTTCTGAAACGTGGTAAGGTAGTGGTCTCAACCCAGTCGATGACAATTGCACAAAAATTATCCAGTAAAACCTTGGATTGCGAGTGACTTTGTCTGCGAGTGTTTTGCAAGACGAGCTAAATTTTGAAAATAAACAAGCAAATGGCATCATAAGCAGTTTATGGATAATTCACACGGCAGTGTTAACCACGGCGGCCTGCCAGATTCGAACCGCGAACCTCCGCAACAAGCGGGGAACCGCGCTGCCGGTGGGCTCTGTGACCATCCACTCAATCAACGCATCGGCACTGCCGTAACAATGCGGTGAAAACTTGGATTGCGAGATTTCAAGAACACAGGATGAGATGTTACTATCGTTTGTGCAAGCACTTCCAAGAGTTCATGAACAGTGAGCCTGGTGAAATTTGGGGAGCGCATCGTCAGTAGTGTACCTTTGGTTCCTAGGGTGTTTCGGCCTTTCACACATATTCAGATTCCAAAGAACACAGGATGAGATGTTACTATCCTTTGTGCAAGCACTTCCAAGAGTTCATGAACAGTGAGCCTGGTGAAATTTGGGGAGCGCATCGTCAGTAGTGAACCTTTGGTTCCTAGGGTGTTCCGGCCTTTCATACTATACACCCTCCCCAAAGGCGGCCAGCGACAGGGTGATCAATCCTACGCTTGCGTCCCATTCCCAATTAGTCATAGGAGTTGCCTTGTTGTTGATAGCCAACATCCCATGGGACTATGCATGGCAGGGGTGTCCTCCTCCCTGAGTCAAGCATTGTTGACTGCATTCCTCCTGGCCCTCTCACTTTGGGGCCCAGCTGGGGTCTTTCCTCTTCATCCAGAGCCACTGACTGCTGCCTTCTGCCGCCTCCGATACAGCTCTGATTGCCGAACGCTGATCTGCGAGTGTCTTGCAAGACGAGCAAATTTTTAAAATAAATATTAATTTGCTAAACGAGCGAGGTCTTGCAACGCGAGCAGTACGTACAGTATACGCTTTAAATTTCGATTTAAAGCTTTCGTGACTGCAGGGATTCATCTTCTTGGTTCTTTCGATAAAGTCATCACGTAGAAGGGAAGTAATAAAATAATAAAAATAAAACATAATAAAATAATTCTCACGACGTTTCGGCCACAACGCAAGCAGCCGTCCTCAGGTGAAGAACAGGTCTATCGAGGCGACAGCGTCTGAATGAAACAGCACCATGCCGAGCATCACGTGATCACAACTGATGTACGAGTGCTTTGGATTACAAACGCGTTTCCGGAAAGAATCATGCTCGCAATCCAAGCTTTGACTGTAGTGAATTTGTTTTTTGGCCAAATTTGAATGAATTCTTCCTAAGTTATGGGTCTGCGAATTTCAATCACGGTCCCTGCTTGCGGCTCGTGCCTTGTCCCCGACGGAGTTGCAAACTGGTGTGACCGCTGCTGTTCTTGGATGTTGACTCTTGGTTCTTTCGGTAAAGTCACGTAGAATTTAAATAATAAAATAATAAAAATAAAACATAATAAAATAATTCTCACGACGTTTCGGCCACAACGCAAGCAGCCGTCCTCAGGTGGAGAACAGGTCTGTCGAAGAGACAGCGTCTGTCTCCTTATTATTTCCATTCTACGTGACTTTACCGAAAGAACCAAGAAGATGAATCCCTGCAGTCACGAAAGCTTTAAATCGAAATTTAAAGCGTATACTTTACGTACTGCTCGTGTTGCAAGACCTCGCTCGTTTATCAAATTAATATTTATTAAAAAATTTTGCTCGTCTTGCAAGACACTCCCAGACCAAGTCACTCGCAATCCAAGGTTTTACTGGATAATTTTTGTGCAATTGTCATCGACTGGGTTGAGACCACCACCATTTTCTCCTCGCCCCCCTTCCCCCCCTCGCCATCTTCTCTCGCACCCCCACCCCCCTCCTTTCCGCGCCTCCAGACATTCTTCCTGGCGCCAACGAGGACGACAGGAGGCTGTGGCAGCTGCTGCAGAAATCCCGCTCTGCCCAGCGGTCAGAGAGGCTGCAGGCCGTGCGGGAACTAGCGTCTGCCCACCACTGGCCCGGTACTGGCACCGCCCTGCACGACGCTCGCCGGCACGTCGGCGCGTTTCGTGACACGTAGCGACGATGGTGACCGTGATAATTGTTTTTTTACCCTTTTATATGGTAAAAAACTAACACCATTTTTACAAGGAGTCATGTTAGCATTGACCTGCGGTCGGAATGAAAACAAAAAACACAACTCTGATAATGTCATTGAAATTGATTGGTCTACACCCGAGACAGCTTTCCTTAGAGCCGAGTCTCACATGGTGTTGGACCAGATGACGCCAAAAGGCGCACAACTCAAAGACAATGCACCGTCAGAGTATGAGAGCTCTGGGTAATCATTCACACCATTGGAACCTCCTTTGCCAGTAGCAAAATATGATAAAAAAATGTTACCCTTTTATCTGACAACTAAACTGACACCTTTTCTACAAGGAGTCATGTTAGCATTGACCTGCGGTCGGAATGCAAACAAAAAACACATCTCTGATAATGTAGGCACTGTCCTTGAAGTTGATTGGTCCACACCCGAGCCAGCTTTTCTTAGAGCCTAGTCTCACATGGTGTTGGACCAGATGATGCCAAAAGGTGCACAACTCAAAGACAATGCACCGTCAGAGTATGAGAGCTCGGGGTAAGCATTTACACCATTGGAACCTCCTTTGCCAGTAGCAAAATATGATAATTGTTGTTTTACCCTTTTATCTGGCAACAAAACTGACACCTTTTTAACAAGGAGTCATGTTTGCATTGACCACAATACCTGCGGTCGGAATGCAAAAAAAAACACAACTCTGATAATGTATGCACTGTCCTTGAAATTGATTGGTTCACACCCGAGACAGCTTTTCTTAGAGCCTAGTCTCACATGGTGTTGGACCAGATGACGCCAAAAGGCGCACAACTCAAAGACAATGCACCATCAGAGTAAGAGCGCTCTGGGTAAGCATTTACACCATTGGATCCTCCTTTGCCAGTAGCAAAATATGCTAATAGTTTTTTTACTTTTTTATCTGGCAACAAAACTGATACCTTTTTAACAAGGAGCCATGTTTGCATTGTAAAAAGGTTTCAGTTTTGTTGCCAGATAAAAGGGTAAAAAACCAATTATCATATTTTGCTCCTGGCAAAGGAGGTTCCAATGGTTACCATGGCGACGCGTGGCGACGATAGTAACGTTGGCAACGCGTGGTGACGATGTTGCAGATTACCAGTACAGGAACGTGGCCCAGGCAAGCGACGCACGGACCCTGGTCGGCCTGGCTCGATCCAAGGACGTGGACTTGAGATTTTTCCTCCCTCCTGCCCCTCTGCTTCGTTCGGACACCGTGAGCTCCCTCGCACCTCGCGCGCCCCCCTCGCATCCCGCGTCTGCCGGTCGTCTCGGTCTGTCCTGTGACCTAGGCGGGCAGTGAGCCTTCCCACACTTCACTTGGCGTCAAGGTGCAAACGGCAAAGATCCCCCGTATAACCTTGAATAGACTGTTCGGGCAAGTGCTGTTGAGCGAGTGGTACCTCATGAGGCCTCCTTTGCCAGTACCAAAATATAATTATAGGGTTTCACCCTTTTTTCTGGCAACAAAACTGAAACCTTTTTACAAGGAATCATGTTTACACTAACCACAATACCTGCGGTCAGAATGCAAACAAAAAACACACTGATAATGTATGCACTGTCCTTAAAATTGATTGGTCCACACCAGAGACAACTTTCCTTAGAGCCTAGTCTCATACGGTGTTCGACCAGATGACGCCAAAAGGCGCACAACTCAAAGACAACGCACCATCAGAGTATTGAGAGCTTGGGATAAGCATTTAAATCATGAGGCCTCCTTTGCCAGTACCAAAATATAATAATAGGGTTTTTCCCCTTTTTTCTGGCAACAAAACTGAAACTCTGCGTTGTCTATTTTTACGAGTGGTACCTATGAAGGCCGACACGGCGCACGAGGGGGTGGGTGGCCAAAACCACGCCGGGCCACCTGTCATGGTGCGCCTAGCTGACACAAGCACCGTGGTGATGTCACCGCCACTTTGTGTTGAATGGCGAGTCTTGTTGGTGGCGCTGGTGGCGGTGGCTGCAGTGGCTATGGTGATTGTGGTTGTTGTTTTGGTGGCGGTGGTCATGGTGTTGTTGCTGGCATTTGTGGTGGTGGTGGTGGTGGTGATGATGATTGCGGTGTTGGTGGTGGTGACTTGGCGGTGGTGGCGGTCGTGGAGGTGGTTGCAGTGGTTATGGCGATTGTAGTGGTGATGATGGCGGTGGTTGCAGTGGCTATGGTGTTTGTGGTTGTTGTTTTGGTGGCGGTGGTCATGGTGTTGTTGCTGGCATTTGTGGTGGTGGTGGTGGCGGCAATGGTGATGATGATTGCGGTGTTGGTGGTGGTGACTTGGCGGTGGTGGCGGTGGTGGAGGTGGTTGCAGTGGCTATGGCGATTGTAGTGGTGATGATGGCGGTGGTTGCAGTGGCTATGGTCTTTGTGGTTGTTGTTTTGGTGGCGGTGGTCATGGTGTTGTTGCTGGCATTTGTGGTGGTGGTGGTGGTGGTGGCAATGGTGATGATGATTGCGATGTTGGTGGTGGTGATGTGGCGGTGGTGGCGGTGGTGGCGGTGGTTGCAGTGGCTATGGTGATTGTGGTTGTTGTTTTGGTGGCGGTGGTCATGGTGTTGTTGCTGGCATTTGTGGTGGCGGTGGTGGCAATGGTGATGATGATTGCGGTGTTGGTGGTGGTGACTTGGCGCTGGTTGTGGTGGTTATGGTGATTTTGGTTGTTGTTTTGGTGGCGGTGGTCATGGTGTTTTTGCTGGCATTTGTGGTGGCGGTGGTGGTGGCAATGGTGATGATGATTGTGGTGGTGCCAATGGTGACGGTGGTGGCAAAGGTGATGATGATTGTGGTGTTGGTGGTGGTGACTTGGCTGTGGTGGTGGCAATGGTGATGATGATTGTGGTGGTGGCGGTGGTGACGGTGGTGGCAATGGTGATGATGATTGCGGTGTTGGTGGTGGTGACGTGGCGGTGGTGGCGGCGGTGGTGGCGGTGGTGCCGGCTGCATCGTCGTCGCTGCTGCTGCTGCTGGTGACTTGCTGGCGCGGTGGGCTGCAGGGCCCTTCCCCTGCCTTGGCCGAGGAGCTGCGAGCCCTGGTGGCTGCTCTCCCGCAGCGGAGCGAGGACTCCTGCCTGCGCTACTTCACATCGCTGGCGCTTAGGGATGGCTACGAGCACGTGGAGGCACAGAGGGTACGGTCGCCTACACCGCCGCGGCACACGGCATCGCCGTTAACTCATCGCCACAGTGGCTCGGAGATGTTCACTCCCTCGCCTGGTATACAGGAGGTCGTGGGTTTGATCCCGACCCTGACGCCTGCTGCTGTATATTTGGAGTTTGCGTGTCTCTCTCTCTCATCATCATCATGGTGGCTCGGAGATGTTCACTCCCTCGCCTGGTATACAGGAGTTCGTGGGTTCGATCCCGACCCTGACGCCTGCTGCTGTATATTTGGAGTTTGCGTGTCTCTCTCTCATCATCATCACGGTGGCTAGGAGATGTTAACTACCTCGCCTGGTGTACAGGAGGTCGTGGATTCGATCTCAACTTTGACATCTGCTGCTGTATATTTGGAGTTGTGGTGGTGGGTGGTGGGTTGTCGTGGTGGTGGGTGGTGGTGTGTGGTGGGTTAGGTAGTGGTGAGTTGGTGGTGGTAGTGCCGAATGTGGCGGTGGTCATGGTGGCTGGTGGTGATGGGAGGTGGTGCCGAGTGTGGTGGTGGTCATGGTGGGTGGTCGTGGTGGTGGGTGGTGGTGCGTGGTGGGTTGGTAGTGTTGAGTTGGTGGCGGTGGTGCCGAGTGTGGTGGTGGTCATGGTGGGTGGTCGTGGTGGTGGGTGGTGGTGCGTGGTGGGTTAGGTAGTGTTGAGTTGGTGGCGGTGGTGCCGAGTGTGGTGGTGGTCATGGTGGGTGGTGGTGGTGGGTGGTGTTGCGTGGTGGGTTAGGTAGTGGTGAGTTGATGGTGGTGGTGGGTTGTCGTGGTGGTGGGTGGTGTTGCGTGGTGGGTTGGTAGTGTTGAATTGGTGGTGGTGGTGGTGATGGGAGGTGGTGCCGAGTGTGGTGGTGGTCATAGTGGGTGGTGGTGGCGGTGATGGGAGGTGGTGCCGAGTGTGGTGGTGGTCATGGTGGGTGGTGTTGGTGGTGGTGATGGGAGGTGGTGGCACTGGCACGTCCCGTAGCCCACGATGTCTCCGTTGTGCCCCGGCGTGCAGGATGGCCCGGGCTGCTTCGAGACGAGCGAGTTCCTCTACGCACAGACGCTCAGCTCGCTGGCGCCCGAGCGCGCCGAGGCCTTCTGCCTGCACGCTCTGCTGCACCATTCCATGGTGAGCGCCGCAGTTAGAGCTCATGCGGGCGGTGGGGGTGGTGTGTGGTGGGGGCTGGGTGGTGGAGGTTGTGGGATTTGTGGGGGCTGGGGGGTTTGCGGGGGTAGGGAGTTGGGAAGTGGGGGGTGGGGGGTGGGAGGTGGGGGGTGGTGTGTGGTTGGGATGTGGGGGCTGGGTGGTGGAGGTTGTGGGAGGTGGGGGGTGGTGTGTGGTTGGGTGGTGGGGGCTGGGCGGTTTGTGGGGGTAGGGGGTGGGAGGTGGGGGGTGGGGGGTGGTGGATGAGTGGATGAGGGAGTGGGTGGGTGAGTGAATGGGTTCGTGGACGAGTGAGTGGGTGGGTGAGTGAATGAGTTCGTGGATGAGTGAGTGGGTGGGTGAGTGAATGGGTTCGTGGACGAGTGAGTGGGTGGGTGAGTGAATGGGTTCGTGGATGAGTGAGTGGGTGGGTGAGTGAATGGGTTTGTGGATGAGTGGACGAGTGAGTGGGTGGTTGAACGGACGAGTGGGCGAGCGATTGACCCACCTCCATCGCTAAGGTGGTCCCACCTCCACCTCTGCAGCTGCCGGGCCACGGTAAGCTCATGGTGGACCGTGGCGCCCTGCAGCTGCTGCTGAGGCTCTACCTGGCGCGGCGCGACCCGGCGCGCAAGGTGCAGCGCCGGGTCACTCGCATCCTGGGCAACCTGGCCGCGTGCCCGGAGCTGCACGGACAGATCCACCAATCCGGTGAGTGCATGCGGAACGACTCGGTGCCGAGCCACTCGCCGCGCACTTTGCCTCGCGACGCAATCGGCCCGGTGCTCGGGGACCAGAGGTTGCAACCGGGTACCCGATACCCGTACCCTACCCGATGCCCGGCTACCCGTACCCGGCCGGGTACGGGTAGCCGTTTGCGACCCTGGTGCGGCCGGGTATGGGTACGGGTAGACCGTGAGTCACTGGTGAGTAACCGTTTGTCACTCATTTCCCAACGTCTTTTCTCTTCTCACAATTCAAGTTCCTAGAATCAACCCCCCACCTGCGCCTGCAACATGGCTTCATCCCAGAGGTCGCAATCAGGTACCCGATACCCGTACCCTACCCGTTACCCGGCCGGGTACGGGTACAGCCGGGTACGGGTACGGCCGGGTACGGGTACCCGTTTGCGACCCTGGTGCGGCCGGGTACGGGTACGGGTACGGAATCAAAATCCGTTTGCGACTTCTGTCGGGGACAGCTACGAGCACGTGGAGGCACAGAGGGTACGGCCGCCCAAACCGCCACGGCCCAAGGCGTCGTCGTTAACATCTCGCCACAGTGGCTCAGAGATGTTAACTACCTCGCCTGGTGCAGAGGAGGTCGTGGGTTTGATCCCGACCCTGACGCCTGCTGCTGTATATTTGGAGTTTGCGTGTCTCTCTCGCTCATCATCACGGTGGCTATGAGATGTTAACTACCTCGCTTGTCATACAGGAGGTCGTGGGTTTGATCCCGACCCTGACGCGTGCTGCTGTATATTTGGAGTTTGTGTGCCTCTCTCCCTGCGGTCACGTGGATTTTTCTCCGGGTCCTCCGGTTTTTCCTCCCACAATTAGAATCGACGTGACGCGTTTAGATTATTTGGCTGCTTCGTTGGGTTATCGTTTGTGGCCAGGTTGCTGTTGATAAAGAGTTACATAGGTCGGTAGGCCTTACCTGGTAAAATAAAAGTAGTTCATGTCGTAAAATTTCGATTTAAAGCTTTCGTGACTGCAGGGATTCATCTTCTTGGTTCTTTCGGTAAAGTCACGTAGAGGGGAAATAATAAAGTAATAATAAAAAACATTTACAAAATTTTTTAATTTTTTAATTTTTTTATTTCCCTTCTACGTGACTTTACCGAAAGAACCAAGAAGATGAACCCAGTCGTTCGTAAAAGTTGAAGGCGGTATAGTACTATAGTAATAGAGCGAGTGCAGAATCACTGAGCTGGAATTGATAGCTTGAAAGCATTTAGCGCCCTTGAAAGTGCGGGGCCTGTAGCATATGTAGCTATACTCTTTGGTTCTTTCGGTAAAGTCACGTAGAAGGGAAATAATAAAATAAAAAAAATAAATCATTATTTTATTATTTCCCTTCTACGTGACTTTACCGAAAGAACCGAGAAGAGTTGAAGTCGTAGTTTAGTAGTGTGTGATACTGACGGTTCTGCCCGTGATGCTGCTGGCGCTGTATGCGTGCCGGCGCTGCAGGCTGGCTGCGGCCGCTGGTGGAGATGTCTCAGAGTCCCCGGGTGGTGCAGGCGTGCCACGCAGCACGGGCCCTCGCCAACCTGGACAGGGAGACGGCGCACGGGACCCTGATGGAGGGAATGTTCCTGCTGCACCCTCTACACCGCAGCAGGTGACTGCTGCAGCACCGCTACATCGCAGCGCCAATGCACAAATGCACCACTACACCACTGCACCGTTGCACCACTGCATTACTGCACCACTGCACCACTGCACCACTGTATCACTGCATTACTGCACCACTACACCACTACACCACTGCACCACTGCACCACTACACCACTGCACCACTGGACCTCTGCATTACTGCAATACTGCACCACTACACCACTGCACCACTGCACCACTGCACCACTACACCACTGCACCACTACACCACTCACCACTGCACCACTGCACCACTCACCACTGCACCACTCACCACTGCACCACTACACCATGCACCACTGCACCACTCACCACTGCACCACTGCACCACTGCACCACTCACCACTGCACCACTGCACCACTACACCATGCACCACTGCACCATGCACAACTACACCGCTGCACCGCTGCACCGCAGATCCTTCACGGTGGTGTTGGTGTGATCACCAGTGAGGAGGTGGTGGTGGTGATGGCGGTGGTGTTTTTGGTGTGTTCACCAGCGAGGCGGTAGTGGTGGTGGTGTGTTCACCAGCGAGGCGGTAGTGGTGGTGGTGTGTTCACCAGTAAGGTAGTGGTGGTGGTGTATTCACCAGCGAGGCGGTAGTGGTGGTGGTGTGTTCACCAGGGAGGCGGTGATAGTGGCGGTGATAGTGGCGGTTGTGTGTTCACCTGTGAAGTGGTGGCGTCGGCGGCGTTGCTTTCTTCACCAGTGAGGAGGTGTCGGCGGATGTGCTCTTTGTGCACGGCCTCCTGGGAGGTGGCTTCAAGACGTGGCGGCAGCAGGACGTGGAGGCGGCACCCTCCGAGGAGGGCCCCGAGAGCGAGGCCTACACCCACTGCTGGCCCAAGGTCGCGACCCCGTGCCCGTGCAGGCAGGAGTGCCCACTCACTCACTGACACCGACTAACACACTCGCTCGCTAACACTCAATCTCGCTGTCACTCTCGAACTCTCACACTCACTCACTCTCACTCACTCTTACACTCGCTTACTCTCACAGTCACTCTCACAACAACAACCGCCATTCGCCACTAAGTGGTGGTGACGTCACCACGGCGCTTGTGCCAGGCCATGTGCATCTTGAGGCCACGTGAAGTGTCGAACGCCTGCTGGCAGGAGGTCACGGGACAGACACAGGTGCCATGGGTTGCCTGACTGAGATGACTGGCTGATGCACCACCTGTGCCCCCTACTGTGCCAACTTGCTGTGCTTTAGCCAGCCGGCGCTCCGCTCGTTGTTGTGAGCGTCGCTCCTCCGCCCTCCATTGTTGCTGGAGGGCGACTGCCTCCAACTGCCTAGTAGTGTCCTTCACGAGCCTCCTCCACAGAGGCCGATCTTGACACTGCTGGTACCAGTCATCGGCAAGTCCACTCAGCTCAACATCCTCCTGTACCACATCACTCCATCTCTTCTATAGCTTCCCCCCCCCCCCATTTAGCCTCCTCTATTTGGCTCAACAAAAGCTGTTTAGGCATGCGGTGGCTGGGCATGCGGACTACATGACCCAGCCAACGCAGCCTTGCCTGCTGGAGGAGGAGCTCACCGATGGGACTTTGTCCAGATCTATCAAGGATTTGTGAACTTCTCACAATCCAGCCTGGTTCAACCCAGGATGGATCGTGAGCAGGCCAGCCTAAATGTTTCTAACCGGCGAAGATGTTCCATTCGGGGGGTCATAGTTTCGCAAGCATAGAGAAGGGAGGGAATGACCGTGGCCGAGAAGCCCTGAAGCTTCGTGTGGAGCGACAAACCAGGTAGATTCTACACAGCGATGAAAAGATAATGCCACTCGACTGATTCGGAGTGAGACCTCTACTTTCAAACTGGAGCCGGTCATGATCACACTCCCGAGGTATGGAAAACTCCCCACTCTCATCACAACTGCCCCATCACCAATTGGGAGTTGCGGTGGAGTGTTTGATGGCACAAAATACCCAGGTAGGTGCTTAGTTTTGGTGGGGCTGATGGAAAGGCCCCATCTCTTAGTGGTACACTCCAGGTTCACCAGCAGCGCCTCCAATTCGTCCTGTGAGTGAGCAGCAATCACCAGAACATCGGCATACCTAACATGGTTGACTAAGAGGGAGCCATCCCTTGACCGCACCCGGGCATCGATCAACCTCCCATTGTATTGTTCACAGATTGAAATTCTTCCGGTACAACCATCAAAGGCTTCATGAACTACGTGGTCAAAATAGATGTTAAATAATGTGGGAGCGAGAGGACATCCCTGTCGCACCCCACGGTAAACAGGAAATGGCTCTGACTCTTGGCCATGTAGTTTTACCCTAGCCTGCTCACCATCATGAAGGTCCTTAATGATTGTGAGCAGAGTCAGGGACTCCAAAAGCACGAAGAACAACCCAGAGTCCACGCCTACTGATGTTATCATAGGTCTTGACCAGGTCAATGAAACAGAGGTGTAGGTCCTGTTGGAATTCTCTACACCTCTGCTGTAGCAGACGGACAGAAAATATGGCATCTGCAGGACCGCCCTTTCCTCAAACCACTTTGGGGCTCCGCAAGCCTCTCCTCAGCTTGCCTGGCAAGGTGATGTTGAATAATCCTTTCCAGGACCTTTTCCGGCATACTGAGGAGGGAGATGCCCCTGTAGTTTTTACAGTCTGTGCAGTCCCCCTTCTTAAAGAGGGGGACCACCAGGGAATCCTTCCAGTCTTGCGGAACCCGTCCAGTGGTTCAGACTGTTATAATGTCATATTGGACAGTCTGTGCACAAATGCCACCCTCTCTCAGTATTTTGCTTTGGAGACCATCTTTGCCCAGTGCTTTTCCTGCTTTTCCTGGTCTAAGACTGGATCACCTTCTGTAATTCCTCAACAGATAGCACTTTAACCAGCCACTCACAGGGGGTGACTACTTCTTCCAATATTTGAAGCACTGCAGCCTCAGCAGGGTGCATAGCAGTTTACGATTAATGCACGGCCGCAGTAATAACCGGGGCTGCCTGCCGGAGTCGAACCACGAATCTCTGCGACGAGCGGCTAAACGCTCTGCCCACTCTGCCTAGACCTCGGTTTACAAACCAACTAATACTAATTTACATTTATAAGGAGCTATTCATCTAGGGATCTCAGTGGGTCATGCAAGAAGCTAGGATATATAAATACAGCAATGCCCCGATTTATATAGTTTTGCAAATACGTTGTGAGATTATTAATTCCACTGCTTACTGACTTGCGTCTTCTCAGCCTCACACGTCGCTCACAGCATCGTCCGTCCTTTCTTGTATTCGTCGCCTCTCAGCCTTGGCCTCCACCACCGTACTACCCTTTCAATCATTTTCATTTACATCGTTTAGATATTCGTTGTCGCACCTTTCAGGAACGCATCCCCGACGTTAACCGGGGTTTTACCGTTCTGCACGGTAGTCCGGAGTCCACTGGTCATATATGGGAAGAGTAGGCTAGACGAGTCTTCAGAGAAGACCTAAACAGGGATTGTGAGCTCGCCTGTCGAACGCACGTATGCGTGCGTGCATGTATGTTGAACTTCTTGTAGAACTTCTTTCGCACCATACGTAGCCAACCGTGCTAACCGGAGGTGTGGGCAGCAGGTGGCCTTCCATCATCTTGGCACAAGTACAGGCTCGGTTACCCATGGTGTAGCGTCTCGGTGGAGAGCCGACGCCACCGATCCCCAGACTCTCCCGAGTGAAACCCGGACAAGTGGCAACCCTAGTTATGGGAGGCCTTCCTCCAGCTGTGGATGAATCGTAGCAGCACCCAAATGTCAATGATTCTATTCCGTGGTTGAGGAGCAGTTGTGAGGATGAGAAGCCGGTGAGCATGTACGTGCCTGGTGAGCCGTGCTCTGTGCATGCGTCAGAGGTCGCAAACGGGTTTTGATTCTTTACCCGTACCCGTACCCGGCCGTACCCGTACCCTACCCGTACCCGGCCGGGTACAGGTACCCGATTGCGACCTCTGAGATGAAGCCATGTTGCAGGCGCGGGTAGGTTGATTCTAGGAACTTGAATTGTGAGAAGAGACAAGACGTTGGGAAATGAGTGACAAACGGTTACTCGCCAGCGATTCACGGCCTACCCGTACCCGGCCGCACCAGGGTCGCAAACGGGTACCCGTACCCGGCCGGGTACGGGTAGCTGGGTATCGGGTAGGGTACGGGTATCGGGTAGGGTACGGGTATCGGGTAGGGTACGGGTAACGGGTAGGGTACGGGTATCGGGTAGGATACGGGTAGCCGGGTATCGGGTAGGGTACGGGTATCGGGTAGGGTACGGGTAACGGGTAGGATACGGGTAGCCGGGTATCGGGTAGGGTACGGGTATCGGGTACCCGGTTGCGACCTCTGGCGTGCGTGCGTGCGTGTTTGTGTCGTCAGGCCTGGTTGGCGCCTGACTGCCCGGGCATTAGGATCTTGAGCCTGGACTACGACACCCACCTGAGCGACTGGAAGGTCAAGTGCCCAGCGGAGCAGCACAGGTAAATATGCAGACGCGGGTAGCGCTAACCGCTCGGGCGTTTCGAGGTTTGGGGGTCAACGGGACCCGCACCCTGCAACTTGCAGACTCCTCGGAACGGGCAAAAGTTAAGTCCGCTCATCCTCGACAATTTGCGCTTTTAAGACCGGACTAAAAGCATTTCTTCTCATCTTCTTGGTTCTTTCGGTAAAGTCACGTAGAAGGGAAGTAATAATGACTTTAAACCCCCTTCCCACCTCCTACGCACTTCACAAGTAGTACTAATCCCATATCTGCATTTCCCATAAATATGCTAAATTCGCTTGATATGCAAATTATTTTGTCAAAGCGCACCTTCCCCCTCCAACCCAGCTTAAATAGACGCTCCAAGCCTGGGGCGTGTCATTCAGACTCTGTCTTCCCGACAGACCTGTTCTTCACCTGAGGACGGCTGCTTGCGTTGTGGCCGAAACGTCGTGAGAATTATTTTATCAAAATGGGACAATCGAGAAAAATCTTCTTGGTTCTTTCGGTAAAGTCACGTAGAAGGGAAATAATAAAATAATAAAAATAAAACATAATAAAATTAGATATTATTTTATTATGTTTAATTATTTATTATTTATTTGTTTGTGTTTCTACCTCGTGATAAAATAAGATATTATTTTATTATGTTTTATTTTTATTATTTTATTACTTCCCTTCTACGTGACTTTACCGAAAGAACCAAGGAGATGAATCCCTGCAGTCACGAAAGCTTGCAAATCGACATTTCTTCTCAGTTTAATTTACCGCTTTTCACTGAATTTGTCCGCGCGTTACAAATCATTGGGCCGACCGACCGTTTGATCGTTACGCGCGGTCGCCGTTGCCGCGTCGTTATTTGCCGCCGTGTCATCGCAGGCGCTCGCTGGCTTCTCGGAGCGTGGAGATGCTGGAGAAGCTGAGGCTGGCGGGCGTGGGAGACCGCCCGCTTGTCTGGGTGGCTCACAGCATGGGAGGTGAGACCCGCGCCTGCACCCAGGGCCGCAACGCCGGCATCTCTTGACGCAGGATGAGCCGCGGGGAGTTTCACGCCTTACCGGAGATTGCAAGCTCTCAGGCAATCAGAGTCGTCGTAGCTGTTTCAGTCCCGTCTTGAAAACGGGTTGTGGAGGGTTACGACACATTTGTAAATAACGCGATCTAACCGAAAAACGTTGATTATGAATAATATTGTATTGTTGCAGTCGAAACGTCGGGAGAATTTTATTGTTTTATATTTTTATTCTTTTATTGTTTCCCTACTACGCCACTTTACCGAAAGAACTAAGAATATGAATCCCTGTAGTCACGAAAGCTTTAAATCAAAATATGAATAATATTGGTCGCGAAAGCCTGCTGCGTGTTAAACGCACCTCTTTAAATCAGCCTTTAACCCCTACCTAGTTGTGGAAATTTAAACCTGGTTCCGAGTGGGTGGGTGAGTGGGTGGGTGGGTGAGTGGGTGGGTGAGTGGGTGGGTGAGTGGGTGGGTGGGTGGTGGGTGAGTGGGTGGGTGAGTGGGTGGGTGGGTGGGTGAGTGGGTGGGGTGAGTGGGTGGGTGAGTGGGGGGGTGAGTGGGTGGGTGAGTGGGTGAGTGGGTGGGTGAGTGGGTGGGTGGGTGGGTGGGTGAGTGAGTGAGTGAGTGGGTGGATGAGTGGGTGGGTGAGTGGGTGGGTGAGTGAGTGAGTGAGTGGGTGAGTGGGTGGGTGGGTGAGTGGGTGGGTGGGTGAGTGGGTGGGTGGGTGAGTGGGTGGGTGGGTGAGTGAGTGGGTGAGTGGGTGGGGGGTGGGTGGGTGAGTGAGTGGGTGGGTGGGTGGGTGAGTGAGTGGGTGGGTGGGTGGGTGAGGTGAGTGGGTGGGTGGGTGAGTGGGTGGGTGAGTGGGTGGGTGAGTGGGTGGGTGAGTGGGTGAGTGAGTGAGTGAGTGGGTGGGTGAGTGGGTGGGTGAGTGGGTGGGTGGGCGAGTGGGTGGGCGAGTGGGTGGGTGAGTGGGTGAGTGGGTGGGTGAGTGGGTGAGTGGGTGGGTTAGTGGGTGGGTTAGTGGGTGGGTGGGTAAATCGGTCTTTACTCTGTGCCTAGTTCTCGTCGTGTGCTCTGCAGGTTCTGCTGATTTCCTGCTTTTACGTACACGGTGGTGGCGCATTGGCGTCTACAGATGAAATGCGACACGTTTCAGTTAATTATTAAGAATGTTGAGATATAAGATGATGATTTGTGATATCGGCGAAGTAATGTTAGGGTTGCCACCTAATATCTGTAGGGTTTGATCTGCACAGGTCGAATAAGCTTCAACACGACACCTCCCGGTCTGGTAGCGGTATTGTTCGCGTTGAACTGTTTTAAAAAAAAATCCTTTATAATAAGTTCACTTGCTTGCGCGCTTACGACCGTGCAAATCTTTCGGTCGTTTTTTAACCCACTTCCCATGATCCAATCGAGCTGACATTTTCCACACAGACTCGTTGTGCGTGACAATTAATGTTCGTGAAAATTTTTTTCAAAAATTTTACACTTTTTATGACAAAAATATTATATTTAATTACCAATTGCTTAATGGTGCAATGCAATCATCTGACCCATAGGTGGCAGCCATCTCAAGCCAGAGGACGAGAGGACTCTAGCCGCCACGCATATAAAGGATTTATAGAGAAAAACTTTGTTTTTACGGGTTATACTTGTTTACGCTTTCATTGAACTCACTCTGTCTGTTGTTGTTGTATCCTCAAATCTCGTAACTCAATTTTAACCCACTTCCCAATGTGGTATCGACTGCAAACTCGGTATACTTATGTCATACTGATGACAATACTATATTCTATCATAAAAAACATTTTTTTTTCACATTCTTTTTTATATTTTATATTTCAGCTTGGATCTAATTGTCCATGGTCAACTGACATTGCCTGTAATTGGCCATTGCCCCTTACGTTGTGGCAAGCTTCGGGGCCACTTCCTGGAGTCGTGGAGTTCTTCCATTACTAGTACATTTCATAAAAGCGTGTTTTTAAAAAAGTTTTTGTAAATATTACTTATTCATTTCGATCTAAAGCTTTCGTAACTGCAGGGATTCATATTCTTGGTTCTTTCGGAATTAATATTATTTCCCTTCTACGTGACTTTACCGAAGGAACCACGAATATTACTTATTCAGTTTGCTGCACAGTTCTGATAATAATTCCAATAATTGACCGAGTGCTGACTGAGACACATGCCCCGGTTTGGTCTGCAGTGGAAAAGGTGATGACTCCTACGTGATACGTATTCCGGAAGTCATGGGATAATTCCTGAAAAAGTATTCATACAGATATTGTTAGGTGTCTTTTGATATTCATATTTTTCGGGGTCTTTTTCCAGATTTCATTACAAATTTGCTCTGATCTTGTCTGTCTGTCTCTGCTCTGATCTCTGTCTGTCTGTCTCTGCTCTGATCTCTGTCTGTCTCTGCTCTGATCTCTGTCTGACTGTCTCTCCTCTGATCTCTGTCTGTCTGTCTATACTCTGATCTCTGTCTGTCTGTCTCTGATCTCTATCTGGTTGTCTCTGCTCTGATCTCTGTCTGACTGTCTCTGTCTTTGATCTCTGTCTGTTTGTCTCTGCTCTGATCTCTGTCTGTCTGTTTCTGCTCTGATCTCTGTCTGGTTGTCTCTGCTCTGATCTCTGTCTGACTGTCTCTGTCTTTGATCTCTGTCTGTTTGTCTCTGCTCTGATCTCTGTCTGTCTGTCTCTGCTCTGATCTCTGTCTGTCTGTCTCTACTCTGATCTCTGTCTGTCTCTGCTCTGATCTCTGTCTGTCTGTCTCTGCTCTGATCTCTGTCTGTCTGTCTCTACTCTGATCTCTGTCTGTCTGTCTCTGCTCTGAACTCTGTTTGTCTGTCTCTGCTCTGATCTTTGTTTGTCTGTCTCTACTCTGATCTCTGTCTGTCTGTCTCTGCTCTGATCTCTGTCTGTCTGTCTCTGCTCTGATCTCTGTTTGTCTGTCTCTGCTCTGATCTCAATCTGTCTGTCTCTGCTCTGATCTCTGTCTGTCTGTCTCTGCCCTGATCTCTATCTGTCTGTCTCTGCTCTGATCTCTATCTGTCTGTCTCTGCTCTGATGTCTGTCTGTCTCTGCTCTGATCTCTATCTGTCTGTCTCTGTCCTGATCTCTATTCTGTGGTTTTTGCTCAGTACGGCACTTTTATTTCACGTCTCTCTGCTCGAGTACATTATTTTGGGCGACCTGCGTCAGTCGCTTCTGCTCCCCGAGCCTCCGTCGCGCGGCCTCTCTCTGTCGACCCGCCGCCTGGCTAACCACGACCTCACCTTCGACCTCTATCGGCTGGCCATCAGATGCGCTTCCGCAGACGTCTGGAACGCTTTTCCTTCCAATATTAGGATGCCGCTTGAGCTAGGCACTTTTAAATCATCTAGGTTCAAGACTAATTTCTTTAGAACTGCTTTTTGTGTTTAGTTCGTTGTCCTTTCACCCCGCACCTCCGATTAGCACGGTTGGCTACGTATGGTGCAAAAGAAGTTAAACATACTCACTACACTCTACACTATTATACATGACACTACACACACTGTACTCTTTGGTTCTTTCGGTAAAGTCACGTAGATAGAAAATTTAAACTACACACACTATTCTACTCACTACGCTACGCACTAGAGTACACTACTATACACTATACACTACACCACTGTACTAAATAGAAAACGCATTTCTTTAGAACCAAATTTTGTGTTTAGTTTGTTGTCTTTCCCCGCCGCACCTCCGATTAACACGCTTGGCTACATACGGTGCGAAAGATGCTCACCATGCATACGCACGCATGCACGCGCATACATACGTGCCTCCGCCGCCAGGCCTGCTGGTCAAGAAGATGCTGTCGGATGCAGAGAGGCTTCCGGAGTTCCGCCAGGTGGTGGAGAAAACCCGCGGCGTGGTCTTCTACAGCGTGCCACACCGGGGCAGCCGCCTCGCCGAACTGTCACGCAACGTCGGCTACCTCCTCTTCCCCTCCGTGGAGGTCAAAGAGCTCGGCCAAGGTGAGGGGTGAGGGGGGCGGGGGGCGTGCCGATCGTGGCTTCTACCAGAGGTCGCAAATGGGTTTTGATTCCTTACCCGTACCCGTACCCGGCTGCACCAGGGTCGCAAATGGGTACCTGTACCCGGCCGGGTGCGGGTAGCCGTTCCCTACCCGTACCCTACCCGAAATGAGTGACAAACGGTGACTCACCAGTGACTCACGGCCTACCCGTACCCGTACCCGGCCACACCAGGGTCGCAAACGGGTACCCGTACCCGGCCGGGTACTGATGCTGCTGCCGCTGCTACCGCTGCTACCGCTGCTACTGCTGCTGCTGCCGCTGCTGCTCCTGCTGCTGGTGCTGCTGGTGTCGGTGCTGTTGTCGGTGCTGCGGCTACCGCCGCTCCTGCTACTGCCGCTGCTGCTGCTCCTGCTGCTGCTTCTGTTGTCGCTGCTGCTGCTACTACTACTACTGTCGCTAATGCTACTATTACTGCTGCTACTACTACTGTCGCTAATGCTGCTACTACTGCTGCTGCTGCTCCTGCTGCTGCTTCTGTTGTCGCTCCTGCTGCTACTACTACTACTGCCGCTAATGCTACTACTACTGCTGCTTCTGTTGTCGCTGCTGCTGCTACTACTACTATTGCTGCTAATGCTACTGCTGCTGCTGCTACTGCTGCCCCTGCTGTTGCTCCTGCTGCTGCTACTACTACTACTGCCGCTGCTGCTGCCCCTGCTGCTGCTTCTGTTGTTGCTGCTGCTGCTGCTACTATTACTGCTGCTAATGCTACTACTACTACTGCTGCTAATGCTACTACTACTGCTGCTACTGCTGCCGCTGCTGTTGCTCCTGCTGCTGCTACTACTACTACTGCCACTAATGCTACTGCTGCTGCTGCTACTACTACTACTGCTGCTGCTACTACTACTACTGCCGCTAATGCTGCTACTGCTGCTGCTGCTACTACTGCCGCTAATGCTGCTCCTGCTGCTGCTGCTGCTACTGCTGCTGCTACTGCCGCTAATGTTACTACTGCTGCTGCTACTACTACTGCTGCTAATGCTGCCGCTGCTGTTGCTCCTGCTGCTGCTACTACTACTACTGCCGCTAATGCTACTGCTGCTGCTGCTGCTACTGCCGCTAATGCTGCTCCTGCTGCTGCTGCTACTGCCGCTAATGTTACTACTGCTGCTGCTACTACTACTGCTGCTGCTGCCGCCGCTGCTGTTGCTCCTGCTGCTGCTACTACTACTACTGCCGCTAATGCTACTGCTGCTGCTGCTGCTACTACTGCTGCCGCCGCTAGACTCTCCGCGACTCAAGGAGCTCCACGCGGCGTTCACGGCGCTGGTGCAGCGGCGCCGCCTGCGTGTGCTGAGCTTCGGGGAGACGCGGGCGACGCCCGTCCACGGGCTCATCCGCATGCTGGTGGTGCCTCTCCACTCGTCCGGTACCCGTGCACTCGCCCGCCCGGCTGGTACACACGCAGCCTGCGTATACGCACACACGCAGCCTGTGTGTGTATGTATACATACAGCCTGTGTATATACACACACGCAGCCTGTGTGTGTGTATATATACACACACACACACAGCCTACATATACACACACAGCCTGTGTGTGTATGTACACACACGCAGCCTACATACACACACACACACAGCCTGCCTGTGTGTGTATACACACACACAGGCAGCCTACATATACACACACAGCCTGTGTGTGTATATACACACAGCCTGTGTGTGTATATACACACAGCCTGCGTGTATATACACACAGCCTGCGTGTATATACACACACACACAGCCTACATATATACACTAGCTTTGCTACCCGGCTTCGCCCGGTACTTGGATTCACAATGGCGATGTTCACACACCACAGCAGTTACTCGTTTGAGGCTGAGTCGACCTAGGGGAGGCCCTGGACCGGTTCAGATAATCGTCACCGGTGGTGGCCGTGAGCGAGAATCGAACTCGGGTCGCCGAGTTCGTAGCGCAGCGCGCTAACCGCTACACTACAATGTGTTACGCTTCCACATGCGTGGGTCACGTGACAGATTTGGGGTCACGTGACAGATTTGACGTCACAGCTCAGTTGCCGTGCAAAAAATGTATGCATTATTGAGCTCCCCCGCCCAAAAAAAATGTGTATTTTTAAAATTTTTGCATGGTGTACATTCTGGAATGTACCCACATTTTCTTGCTGTGGTTTTCACACCTGATGATGATTGCTTGTGTTGCAATCAAAACGTCGTGGGAATTTATTGTTTTATATTTTTATTATTTTATTTTTTCCCTTCTACGTGACTTTACCGAAAGAACCAAGAATATGAATCCCTGCAGTCACGAAAGCTTTAAGTCCCAAAAAAATATATACACAGTTATTAATTTACACACGCAGCATATCTATACACACAGCCTGTATATGCACAGCTGATATCTATATACACACAGCCCTTGTGTATATATATACAGATTATATATAGAGTATATACACAGCCTATATCACACCGCTTATACAAAGCTGATATAAAACACAGAATAGAAGGATCGATTTCCATTCATTTCCATTGGCGGCGGGGCATCCGTTTGCACAGTCCACAATGTTCAAGAAAAGGCGAGGCACCATTGGTACCTCATTTGCCAGTAAAAAATATAATTGTTTTTTTACCCTTCTATCTGGCAACAAAACTCACACCTTTTTTACAAGGAGTCATGTTTGCATAGACCACAATACCTGCAGCCATAATGCAAACAAAAAACATAACTCTGATAATATATGCACTGTCCTTGAAGTTGATTGGTCCACACCTTTTGGCGTCGTCTGGTCCAACACCATGTGAGACTAGGCTCTAAGAAAAGCTGTCTTGGGTGTGGACCAATCAATTTCAAGGACAGTGCATACATTATCAGAGTTATGTTTTTTGTTTGCATTATGACCGCAGGTATTGTGGTCTATGCAAACATGACTCCTTGTAAAAAAGGTGTCAGTTTTGTTGCCAGATAGAAGGGTAAAAAACCAATTATCATATTTTTACTGGCAAATGAGGTTCCCACAGTGTAGATGCTTGCCCCGAGCTCTCATACTCTGATGGTGCATTGTCTTTGAGTTGTGCGCCTTTTGGCGTCATCTGGTCCAACCCATGTGAGACTAGGCTCTAAGAAAAGCTGTCTCGGGTGTGGACCAATCAACTTCAAGGACAGTGCATACATTATCAGAGTTATGTTTTTTGTTTGCATTATGACCGCAGGTATTGTGGTCAATGCAAACATGACTCCTTGTAAAAAAGGTGTCAGTTTTGTTTGCCAGATAGAAGGGTAAAAAAGACAATTATCAAGAGGCGAGGCGTTTCGTGTTCAGTGGAGAAACCTCTGGTGGGTCTGGTCTGCAGATCCGGGCGTGGGGCAGTTCGTCGCGCTGGACGTCAACCACCTGAACGTGTGCAAGCCCTCGAGCAGGGAGTCTCTGCTCTACCAGAGGACGATGAGCTTCGTCAGGGACTGCGTTCACGAGGGAAGGGCAGAGGGCGGCAACAACGGCAACAACGGCGGCGGTGGCGGCAGCAGCATCACGTGACCAGTCAACTGAACTCTCACGCTTCGTAGGATACGCAGCCAGCGTGAAGTGTGTGTGTGTGTCTGTGCGAGCGTGAGTTTGCACGCACACAGCCAAGGTGATGTGTGAGTGTGAATTTGCACAGTGAGTGTGAGTTTGCTCACACACGCACACAGCCAATGTGATGTGAGCGTGAATTTGCACAGTGAGTGTGAGTTTGCTCACACACGCACACAGCCAACGTGATGTGTGTGTGTGAGCGTGAATTTGCACGCACGTACACACACAGCCAAGGTGATGTGTGAGTGTGAATTTTAACAGTGAGTGTGAGTTTGCTCACATACACACACAGCCAACGTGATGTGAGTGAGTGTGAATTTGCTCAGACACACACAGCCAACGTAATGTGTGAGTGTGAATTTGCACAGTGAGTGTGAGTTTGCACACACGTAACATCTTGTGTGAGCGTGATGTGTGAGCGTGATGTGTGTGCGTGTCAACTCACGCTCACACACTGTTAAGAACAAATTGTCACATTAACTTTGGTTCTTCATTTAATTTGGTTTAATTCCAGCTCTGAGAATTCGAATATTTGTTTGACCGGCATCACGCGACGGCCACTCATACAGCAGAGCGAGTTGGGAAAGAGTTGCCCTCTACTGAGTGTGTGGACCCCAGATGTGGCTCTGTGTTATCTGCTTTTGTGGGCTATTCTGTGTGTGAATCAGAATATCGTTTGAAGACGGGATCTCAGAGGTAGATCTGTGATATCAACTTCTGTCAGCTGTTCTCTTCACACGCAGGGATCTGGCACTGCTCAGCCGGATTTGCGAACGGATACTTCATCCTGTGACATTGCTAGTGTGATCAGGATCAAGTGGAAATACATGGAATGCGGGTAATTGACAGCAGCTGATACTGGAATCAATACTCATCTTTGCAGTAATTTATCCTGTATGGAAAGCACTTATATGGATGGCCCACTGGAACAGTCACGCTGCATCTTATTAATTTTTAGAAGTTTTAGAGAAACCTGTTTACTCAGCACAGGAGCCATTCTCCCATAGCCATATTGAGATGCCTATCCCCACCGCTATTCATTTCTCGGAACCAAGGCTATGTGCTTAAAGTGCACTTGCTACCATTGCTTTGCACGATATTAGAAAGCCACCGGGAGCTATGCATTTTTAAAATCTAGATTGAAAACTAATTTCTTCGAGGGCTGCTTTTCGCGTTTAGTTTCTTCTCCTCCGCACCGGCGATGAGCACGGTTGGCTACATGCGATGCAAAACAATTTTTTTTTTTCGATTTAAAGCTTTCGTGACTGCAGGGATTCATCTTCTCGGTTCTTTCGGTAAAGTCACGTAGAAGGGAAATAATAAAGTAATACAAATAAAACAGTAAAATAATTCTCACGACGTTTGAAACCCCCTGCCCACCTCCTACGTATTCCACAAGTAATGACTAATCCCATATCTGCATTTCTCATAAATATGCTAAATTCCTCTTGATATGCACATTCTTTTGTCAAGGCACTCTTCCCCCTCCAACCCAGCTTAAATATACGCTCCAAGCCTGGTGGTGTTTCATTCAGACGCTGTCTCCCCGACAGACCTGTTCTTCACCTGAGGACGTCTGCTTGCGTTGTGTCCGAAACGTCGTGAGAATTATTTTATTATGTTTTATTATTTTATTATTTCCCTTCTACGTGACTTAAGAAAGAACCAAGAAGGTGCGAAACAAGTTGCGATGGCCAAATAGAAGTGCAGTGCCACACGACACTCGCTCACCCGAACGGCGTTGTGTTGATCTCCCCCCGAACGCTTTGACCGTGGCAGCGCGTACGCAATGTGCGTGCTTCGTGCAGTCGACCGATGGCACCTTTGCATGGCGATGTAAGCACGTTCCTTCGGAGTGGGCAGGTAGAAACTTGGTTGGACAGCGCATTCGTGCGATCCGTGTTGGATACCGTAGTCGTGTTGGAGGTTGTCGTATGCACGACAGGCAGACAGATAATCCCTGGTGGGCAGTGTGGAACCTGTTGTTCCTACCTGTAGTATTGTGTGCAGGCCCCTATTCAGCCTGTGCCGCGGGTGGGACAGGTGCTTTGTTTTTTTCCCGTACAGTCTGTTCTCCTATAACGCGTGTTTTCACAAGACGAACTGTATACAACGCGATGAATGTCTTCGGGGACACATTTATTGTTATAACGCGGATGCGAGTTGGATACAACGCGATTGAGTGAACGGAATGACAACGCGCGAGTCGGAACAAGCGGCTGTGGGGCTGCCTCGGCGCGTGGCATCGCACAAGGCAGTGGGATGCTGCTGGATGCTTCGAGATCCTACCCAGCCTGCATACGCACCTCGCGCGTAATCGCGGACTTTGCTGTACCCGACGTATTTATTGTAACCCCGATTTTTCAACAACGTGGTATTCTGCCGGAACGCAACTCCTACACGTTATAGGAAAACATACTGTACTGCAATCGGTAATGAAACTTTCGCAGCACCACTGACTTGTGCCTTGCAAAGGCTTTGCCCTCCTCTGCCCGGGTCACCCTACGCTTATTTTACTTTAAGAAAAAAAGACATTTGCTAGGTACACAGGCCTAAAGTGCCATGCTGTGAAGCTATCTTCTCTTTCGTACGGCCGATGTGGACGTAGAGCAGCGACATTTTACATTGAGCTGCTTAATGAGCCAGATGATTGCATCGGGAGTAGTGGTATGGTGTGACGCTACCATCTCTACAGCTCTCGGTGTGAACCTGTGGGTCTCTCTGTGCGACGATTTGACTCACCTCCCCCCTCCTCCCCCGCCATAGGAATATGGAATTTCCACCATTGGCTCAGGGTTGTAAGGAACGGATGAGCACCGCCTCGATGGTCTCACATGAGCAGGATGTCACTTTGATTTCAATAATTCGTATTCGGCTGCGGTTTGTGCAAGATACGTTGGATTGATTGGATCATTTGACCGTGATTATTCGCTGAGTTGGAACGTCTGGTTTGCGAGGGTTGCCCCGGGTGTCGCATGACACAGAGAAAATCCACGTAATGACACGTGCACTATGCGCCCGTGTGGTGTGTGAAGAATTATAAATGTATTTTATTTTTTCATTTTTACACAAACACCTGGTGTCTCATCATCAGCAGAGTCAGGTTTTGCTTGAAAAATGTTGATAAAATGCCAGATGTTTCATAGGCAAGGGCTGGCTTCGACATTAATTGTCTCATCAGCAGAGCCAGGTTTTGCTCGAACCAATGTTGGTGAACTGCCAGATGTTTATATGCGAGGACACTGTTAAATATCGGTCCCGGTTAAATTTAACACGAAATTCTAGATTTGAAGCTTTCGTGACTGCAAGGATATTCATACTCTTTGGTTATTTCGGTAAAGTCACGTAGGTTAAAAAAAGAAAACAAATAAATTAAATCACGACGTTTCGGAGGCAACACAAGCTTCCATCTTCAGGTGAAACCGTCACAGCCAAAATTGCCGTAATACTTGATACAGAATTTTGCCGTAACACTTGATACAGAAATTTTGCTGTAACTCTTGATACAGCAATTTTGCTGTGACGGTTTCACCTGAAGACGGAAGCTTGTGTTGCCTCCAAAACGTCGTGATTTAATTTATTTGCTTTCTTTTTTAACCCACGTGACTTTACCGAAAAAACCAAAGAGTATTAACACAAAATGTTTAACCGTACAGTTCAAAGCGCTGCCCTAATTTTAATCGCTGAGTAATGATACCGCTGCGGGGAGGAGGGACACCCTGCACACCACTGGTGAGATGCAGTGTCGATTGCAAGTGGACCGATGGACAGAATGTTGAATTTTAAATTTGGGCTGTTCAGGGACAAATCCAGCTTCAGGTCGATTTTGCCGGAAATGCCGATTCGGTGGTTGACAAAGCGGCGAGGCGCTTCACTGCCTGGGGATACATTCAGTCGGGTTGTTCCCGCTACCCCGTTTTTTTGTTGTTTATTCGTCTCTTTGCCGCCTGAAAGTCAAAGTGCAAATTAGGATCGGTGGTGATTGTTGTAAATTGTACGATTTTAAGCGTGAATTCAGAACTGGAGAGGGCTTTTCTCGTGTTTTCCCTTGACAGCAATAAACGTACTCTGTGCCAAAGTGTACTCTGATGATGAGCTTGGACGCAACTCTAACAATTGCTTTTATATTTTATCATGTGTAGAGAAGTTCCGACGGACGTACTCGTAGACGGAGATAAGTTAAGGGCTTTCGCCAGGGTTTATTAAAGCTGTTACAATATTACACAGCAGGGTACGCAACTCCCAGGGGCTCGGGGTCCTACTCTGAGTCGGGTCCCTGCCGGCTAGCTCCAGTCTCTCTCTCTCTCGTGTCGGATCGGAGACTCTGCCGACTCCACCGAGCGGAGAGAGAAGCACCTCTACGGCTACCACCGGCTTCTCCCCAGACTCACCACTCGATCCCTCTCTCTACCCCTGGTTCCCTCTTCACCCTTCTTACTCTACCCGTTCCCACAGTGACCCCGCCTACGTCACGGGGTCTCCCTTAAGTACCCCAGGAGACGTGACGTCATCGCACTGAACGGCACACCTGACGTCACGTCCCCATTTTACTCCTCTGCACAGGTAAAGCCCACTTTACCTATAGAGCTTTTATTCACTTGCGACCTTGCCGTAAATGATAGCTTCACGAAGTGGCTCATCGCGTGGAAATGGATAGCGGCCAAACACGCGAAACGCGTGGTGATGTTGATTCTAAATGTGGAGGGGAAAACCAGAGGACCCGGAGAAAAATCCACTCGACCAACGGGAGCGAGATAACACGCAAACTACAAATATACAGGCTGGGATCGAACCCACGACCTCCTGCATGTCAAGCGAGGGAGTAAACATCTTCTTGGTTTTTTCGGTAAAGTCACGTAGAAGGGAAGTAATAAAATAATAAAAATAAAACATAAAATAATTCTCACGACGTTTCGGCTACAACGCAAGCAGCCGTCTTCAGGTGAAGAATGAGACACTGCCAAGCTAGGAGCGTATATATTGGCAGTGTCTCATTTTTCACCTGAAGACGGCTGCTTGCGTTGTAGCCGAAACGTCGTGAGAATTATTTTATTATGTTTTATTTTTATTATTTTATTACTTCCCTTCTACGTGACTTTACCGAAAAAAACAAGAATATGAATCCCTGCAGTCAGGAAAGCTTTAAATCGAAAAGTAAACATCTTGCCACCCACGGCTCTCTACTCAAACGAGCAATTTTTTTACTTTTCGAATTTAAAGCTTTCGTGACTGCAGGGATTCATCTTCTTGATTCTTTCGGTAAAGTCACGTAGAAGGGAAATAATAATAAAAATAAAACATAAAATACAATTCTCACGACGTTTCGGCCACAACGCAAGCAGCCGTCCTCGGGTGAAGAACAGGTCTGTCGGAAAGACAGCGTCTGAATGAACATCACCAAGCTTGGCAGCGTATATTTAAGCTGGGTTAGGGGAGGAAGGGCGCCTTGACAAAGCAATTTGCATATCAACAGATTGGTATTACCTTAGAGTCGCGGCATCTTTTCAGAAAGGTGAGAGACTCGATTAGCTGAGCCTTCTTATCCTGGAGTTTGTTGAAGGATCTCAAAGTTTCGATTTAAAGCTTTCGTGACTGCAGGGATTCATCTTCTTGGTTCTTTCGGTAAAGTCACGTAGAAGGGAAGTAATAAAATAATAAAAAATAAAACATAAAATTTCGATTTCAAGCTTTCGTGACTGCAGGGATTCATCTTCTTGGTTCTTTCGGTAAAGTCACGTAGAAGGGAAGTAATAAAATAATAAAAATAAAACATCATAAAATTTCGATTTAAAGCTTTCGTGACTGCAGGGATTCATGTTTTCTCCGGACTAAGATGTGCTTGTGTATTTTAAAGCAAGGGTTGGGCTTTTTACGTGTGTGTGTGTCTGTGGCATTTACCAGTCATCTCGGTAAACCCATGGCACCTGAGTCTGTCCCGTGACCTGCCAGCGAGCCTTTGACACTACACGTGGCCTCAAAAGTGCACCCAGCATGGCACAAGCACCGTGGTGACGTCACCGCCACTAATTGACGAATGGCGGTTGTGCAATTTGAGTGGGGAGCGGTAGCGTAACAGTTGGTGCGCTGCGTTATGAACTCATAGACTGACATTCGATTCCCGCTCACGGCCACCAACACCAGGCACCCATCCTGGCCCTAACCCGGTACAGCCTGAACAGACTGTTGGGGCGAGTGCTGTTAGCGAGTAGCACCTATGAAGCACGGCACACGATGGGATGGGTGGCCAGCACCACGCCTCGTCTCCCTGGTGATGATATTTTTACACAACGCACCAGGTACTTTTCAGTTTTCAGTTTCATTTATTTGGTAGAGCCCTGTGAGCCATTCGGCTCTTGAATCGGGTGCAACCGCAACAAACAAAAAAACTAAAATATGAACAAGAAAACATCTTAAAGTAACTACGCGCAAACAGAAAAATCAATTTTAGGCTGAGTCGACTTAGGGGAAGCCGAGGACCGGTTCAGATAATCGTCACTAGTGTTGGCTGTAAGCGGAAATGCAAACCCGGGTCGCTGAGCTCATAGAGCGATGCGCTAATTCTAGATTTGAAGCTTTCATGACTGCAAGGATTCATATTCTTAGGTTTTTTCAAACAGACAACTTACACAGATAATTCCAATGTTTTTATTTTATTTTATCCCCAAGGAAAGAACCAAACACAAAACCCCTCCAAAGCCACAAATATGTTTCGGCTCAACCGCGAATGTTTGAACGTCGACAAAGCGGCCGGCTGCGCGATGTCAGCCTCTCTGAAAGTGCGGGAGTAGAAACATCCCCAGGGTTCATCGTTGAGTTGCCTGTTTTGACGGGGGGAGGCAATAGCATCGTCGACCGAGTAGAGATGCCGATTCGCACGCAGTTGAACTAACGAGTCGATCCTTCGTCCGAAGGGAGGAATGCTCGTGAGAAATCGCACCTCCGATTAACACGGTACGTACTCTTTGCTTTTTTCGGTTTACGTGACTTTATCGAAAAAAACTGAGTATGGATCCTTGCAGTCGCGAAAACTTCAAATCTAGAATTAGCACGGTACGCACGTTGAACATCTTTCGCGCACCGCACGTAGCCAAACCGTGTTAATCGGAGGTGCGGGGGAAAAGACAACAAACTAAACGCAAAAAGCAGTACTGAAGAAATACGTTTGTCAATCGAGATGATGATTTAAACGTGCATAGCTCCAGTGGCTTCCTAATATCAGATGGAAGAGCGTTCCAGACGGCCACAGAAGCGCATCTGAACCAGAAGTCGCAAACGGGTTTTGATTCCTTACCCGTACCCGGCCGCACCAGGGTCGAAAACGGGTACCCGTACCCTACCCGATACCCGGCTACCCGTACCCGGCCGTGATCCAATCGAGCTGACATTTTCCACACAG